AACCTTTTCGCGGGCCTTCATCCTTGGGCTGTCTGGGTACAACTGAGAATTCCGTGGCGGTTAGCCATCCTTTCTGCAAGAACTCTGCACTGTAAAGCCTAGGCCGGATACCACACTCTTGGCAAGCAGACGTTAGGGTTCATCTTGTTTGTTGACACAAACTTGCTCAGCAAAGCAATGGCAGGTAGCGGCTTGTTGCATAGAGCTCGTGCTGCTGCATGCAGCATGATCCACATGGTAACCTGCCAGCGGCCTCAGGTTGACCAAAACTTTGAAGGACAGCGGCTTCATCAAGACACTTGCAGCAACGCTCTGGTTCTAAGTGCCGGCGTGAGCAGATGGTCACAATTTGGCTGCATGTCCATGCAAGTCTCGGGTTCAGTTTCGGCAACTAAGGAGATCGGCCAGCGCAAAAAATGTGAATGGTCGGCGTGGTGATCATATGAAAGTTTTCCGCATGTCTGAACCTGTGTCGAAATGGGCACGTTTGATCAGTGCCTGAGCCCTGTATGTATTTCCTTTTGCAACGATGTGCAACGAGTGTGGGAAGCCAATGCGCACCGCCTCTTGTTTTCAAGTTCAGTGGCAATGTTCTGCTGGACGTGGTGTCAGACTGTACTATAGACTGGAATATAGCAATCAAGAGGGTGCTCGCCTGCCTTCATCAAAACACAGGCAGATGCTGCACCGGTCGTGGCCGAGCTTGTGTAATCCAAGGGCTACAAAGGTTTGATGGAGGCAATCGTGAGGCAATCCAGCAGCACCTCAAGTCCAAAAACGGCTGTATCGGCTGTATACGCCGATTTTCGGGGCTTGGGGGTAGTAAAGTGTTCTGTCATCAATGATCTCACTCATGGAGGACGTGATGTTTGCCTATGGCACGGCTCCAGCACTTGCTGGGAAATACCAGGCCGGGAAGCACATCATTCATGTGTTGGCTGGACATGAACATGTTTTTTTGTAAGTTTCGACGTGTGCAAGTACTTGAGCATGCTGGTGTCCAATGCAAGCAGGCAGTGCCTGCAGCAACAGATCCAGATGCAAGATAAGGTCAACATGCCCGCGATCAAAATGATCTTCCCGCATGATGAGCAATCTGCCACCTATTCTGGTGACATGGGTGATGCCGAGGCCTCCAAGCCTCACAAGCTTGCACGCATTGTTTGTATGGGGCGGGGGGGGAGGGGGGGGGGCATTCTGGTAGGGATCAGTTGTTATAAATCTGTTGGATCACGTGTGGATAGCTGCCACTGCCAGGCCATCCAAGGCTTTGTCAAGAAATACAGACACCCGATGATCACGGATTTTAGTGGAGCTGCCTGGTTCGCTGTTGGCAACCGTGTCTAGTACAGTCGCGGGCCTTATGTCCGTAAACATTGACGCAGGCTACGCCTCAGTTTGACGAATGAATTGCTGCATTTCTCTAGGCGCAAGTTGTTTGCAATGTTCCCCCTCCCCCCTCAACAATCTTCTGTTGTGGTGTTATTTTCTCCGAAAAGGAGTTCCCAGCATGCAAGCGGTTGTGGATCTGAGGAAACAGCTGCAGACCTCTTTGGGGATGGACGGCCGATCTTATTCTTGTTTCGGGACAAGGATGACAAAGGCAGGTAGTACTGGGTGCCCCATGCCGGGTTTGCTGTTGCTGCGATTACCCCTCTACAGGCAAAGCCGCCGAGAAGGCTCTACAAACTGTGGCTCCGCGTTTCCTGACTGTAGCTGGTTAAGGAGCAACGGTGCACATGGCTGCCTGTTCTACTCATCTTGGGAGACTGACCCGTGGTACATCAGGCTTCCAGCGCAGGCTACTGCTCTCCGTCGCTGGTTCCAGTCGCTTGTCCAGGCCTAGACTCTAGATTCTTTGCAGGATAGCAACGAATAGCAATACAAGCCCATCACTAGCCTTGAGGGTTGAAGATTGCTGGCCGGCCTTTTTGACCAGTCGTGGGATGCAAGCGCTCCAGCTGATCGTGCAGCAACTTGAGACAATTTGGGCCGTAGTACTTGTCTAAGCACATCTTCAGAGATCTGCGAAAGGTGCAGCATTCAGCATCCTGTGTGAAGCTCATGGGTTTCAATCAGCCTACTCGAGACAACTGTGCACATTGACTGAATGCCAAGTCAACATCCAACAACTGGCCCAGCAGCTCCCCCTGCTGATATGCTCGTGGACAAGCCGAGGCGAGCCCATGGACCAGCGCCTTATGGACTATGTTAGCGTTGAGACAGAGGTGCACCCGAGGGGTCGTATTGATTACGGGCCGAGCAATCCTACAGCGGAGAGTAGGCTTACACTTCAATGTCTGTTGAGCCGCCTTGGGCGAATCAAATACAATGGCGACATGCACGACCCTCCATAGGGCATATTAGCTCTTCCGAGTTTCACATGTCCTGGGCGAAGACCCTGGCCGACGAAAGGCCCTCAGGAATTGCAGAAATCCAAGAACTCCAGGGGTGTTTCGAGCCTTCTTGGTGTTGTTTAGCAATTTTCTTCTTGAAGCCTGAAAGGAGCGACAAAAATGCATTGCTTCTTTGTGCTGTTTTCTTCGCAGCCTGGCCTTCCTTCACCTTCGGATCCAGTGAAGTTCGAATCCAGATGCGGGAGCATACGAATCCAGATCATTCACTTCCCCGATCTAATTCACTTTCAGAATTATTTGAAATTCTTTGCAGATATCTCAAAGATTCCAGAAGGAGTTGAAATCCATGGAATCAAACCCTGGTTGGGTTCCTCGGCCCCTAGACTGCACTCTCTCCTGAAGCAGTTCTCAAAGATCCTTGGTGTCAGGATGCTTCTTTCCAAGCTTTCCCGGCAATGCTTTCCACCCGATTGAGCCCAGAAAGCATCCAGATTTCCTTCGCAGGAACTGCCTACAGTACGTCTCGTCACTGAGCCACAGGGCACGATGTCAAAGTGACCCGGCAGCAGTCCATGCTATTGTTGTCTTCGCTGCGCAAGGGGCCGGTGGGTGTCAATTGTTTTGATTGCTGCATCAAGCTTATTACTTGGCTGCCTGATGCATGGCAGCGCAGATAAACACAGGTACAGACTGGAGAGCCCGGTCTCGGAGGCCTTGACAACCTATTTGGTATCTGCAACATCAAGCTCACAGCCTGTAAAGAGCTGAGGGGCCTGGCACCTTGATTGGTTGATTCTAAGCTGGGAGGGCGGGGGTGGTGATGTTGATTGGTCCCTTCAACCACTGTCTAGACTCTAGCCTGACGTTTGCAGCTGTGCAGCTGCAGACCTCCCTGACGTCCTTCGTGGCCGACTTCGAAGCCGGACGGTTGAAAAAGTACTTGCAATCTGCTACTCGGCACTACAGCACCACCTGCTTATGTGTAGCGCAACTGCAAAAGAACTAAGAACAGCAGCTGACGGACCAAAACATGCTTCCAGACTTGGCTACAGAAAGCCACAAAGTGCCTCCTTGAATGCGATCTCGTTGTTTTTTTCTGCTGAGGAGCCGGTGCCAAGCAGCCAGAAGGGCCCAGCATCTTGTATCGAATCCAGCCAGATAAATTCGCGGAGTGTTCAGCAGCTTTCCATGGCTGAACTTACATTGACTTGGTTTGTTTGTGTCTCCCTTTACTCTCTGTAAAGACAATCATGGGAGTCGGGTTCGTGGCCTTTGCAGCCATGCAGAAGGAATGTGTGGGCAAGTCTTCAACAGCTTCGCATGCCATCTTCATTTGCTAATGTCAGCTAGCACCTCGTGAGGTGTATACGCTCGTGGGCTCCACCTTCGAGTCCATCGTGAAAGATCCTGCGCAGGAGCCTGCAGCAAAGCTATGCGTATTTTTGATGCCGGAAGCAGCACGCAGCATTGACAATATCTTCTTTGGAATTCGCTGCCGAGTTTTTTGCAGTGCAGTCTTGGACGGTGTCTCTTTGTAGCGGCTGCTGTTCAGGTCTGTAGCTCTCCAGCAGCCTGCGCAGGACGTCCTGGTCAAGTTCTACGCCCCCTGGTGTGGCCATTGCAAGAAACTGGAGCCGGTTTACAATGCAGTGGCCGCTCGAGCTGGTGTGCTGAATCCCTGGTGTAAGGATACTGTACCGCAATGCTTGTCTTTTCCGGCGATCTAGAAGGGAAGAATGTCATTTCTGAAGGCCTCTTTCTAGGAGCTTGGTGGAAGTTGCCGATCTAGCTGTACCACCTCATGGCATGCTGCATTAGTGTGGTGCGCCTGGGTTTTGCCATGTGCTGCGGCAAAGGCCAAGAAGCTGGAAAGCGTGCCAAGCATAACGCAACATGGCTCAACACAGGGTCTTGCATTCAGCAAGTTAGAATGCCTGTGTCATGCCGTCAACAGTTAAAGAGCGGCGGCAGGGGTGGCTGTTTTGTTCCGGCAGCTGGCAGTGGGCACCCTGAGGATCGCAAAAATTGACGCCACGGCAAATGACGTCGATGGCGTCGACATTGAAGGTTTCCCGACCATAAAGTTCTGGCGCGCCGACAACAAGGACAGCGTGGTCAGCTTTATGCTGTGCCTCGGATGTTTCCTCGGATGGAGGTAGTGTGCTAAGTCTGGCTGGAATTCGTGCCAGATTTTCATGTGAGGAGGCCTTAACTTTGGACATTTGATGACATTTAATGCATTTTGGGTGCGTCGCCACGTGGAGATGTAGTCATTAATTTTACGCAATGTGCGGACCAGGAGTCCCTAAAGCTGCATGCAAGATAGCGCCAGCACAGGAGCAGCCATTAGATTATGACGGCGACAGGGATGTTGCGACTTGGCAGTATCATGAAAAGCTTCTGGCAAGTCTTGCATGCCCCACAGAGAAAGCGGCAAAGCCTTCAGGACTCTTTCCTGTCTTGGCTGGATGAGAAAGCCGCTCGTCCTTTCGGACGCAGTGAGCTCTGAGACACGAGCCCGCTGAAAAAAGAGCTGCTGGCGATATCTTTGGCTTCTACTGAAGTCAGCTATCAACTTGTCTTGCAGAGACCGCAAGAGCTTTAGCAATGCTGTCCGCTAGCTAATGGTTTCTTTGGCAACAGGTCAAAATTCCAGGCCCGTCGCAATCCCTGAGGCGCGCAGGGTATTGTTTGGAGCACGTGGCTTTTGACATGTACGCGCTAGGATGCTGTGGCCGAAGCGGAGGACGTAGCGCTGCCATGTGCTGATGCGACCAGTGCTCCAGTGGGGCCGGGTGCTGCAGGATGTGACCAAATGCCAGTTCTGCGGCATGCGGAATCCAGAGGTTGGTGTCTGATGCACAAAAGTTCCTCAAGTGGATGTCTGCTTGGGTGTCTGTCCATTGCCCGTGGAGGCCACGCAAGAGGCCATGGATGTCCACTACTGGCGAGAGTAGAGGGACCCAGATCCGGATTGGCATGCTTGGATTGTAGCGCACCGCCTGACGCTAATGGACCTAGAGTCCGAAAGATAAAGCCTCCCTCCATGGCCCCCCAGGTCTCCTAGACCTACCGCATGCCACGAGGGATCCTTAATGCAGAAAGTCTCACTGCATCTCCTGTAGCATGCATGCCATTTCCGAGAAAGCACAGAGAAACACATGCTACAGACAATCGGATAAGTTGTACAGAAGCATGGCCAGCAAACCCTCGCTGCAACGGTTAATAACTTCATGTAACGTACTACGTTTGCTTTATTGAACGTGTAAAATGGGTCTGCGGTGCGTCTCGTTCTAGGAAGGCTACCTTGAGGCAGGTGGTCAGGCAGTAATTAAACCTAAATTGAGCTTGGTCAAGCTATTGTCAGATAAGGTGCCCAATGCTGACGCAGTGCCAATTCTGCAGCTTTGCTGCACTTGATCCTTTCCCCGTAATGCAGAAGCACAGCTCGCGTAGCGTTCGTATCTCACGGCCTTGTGGCGTCTTTTGCGAATGCTTGGGCAGGTGAGCAGGTCATAGAGATCGCACAGCTGGCCCTAGTCCCAGATTCTCCGCACCGTCTGCCTGCTCAACTTCCAGATACTTCCCTTTCATCAACGTGCTATTGGAACCCCACCCGTCCTTGCAATGCCACATGCTGGTCATGCGGGACTTCTGCCACCCACGCCTGCCATCAACAGCAATCCAGTGGACTGAATTTACTCCGCAAATCATCCGAGCAAAGTCCAATCCGCGACTGCTGCATGCAAATCCCAAGCTCGAATCTAAAGACTAGCCTATGCAACCAAATGTTTACTCCTCAAACCCTCCCGCACATGGCCCAGCCTGACCGTTAGGCCTCCCACTGGAGAGAGGAGTGCGAGGCCCGGAGCGCTGCGACCGAGGCGTGCAAGGACGCGCCAAGCGCTGAACACGAAGTCACGTGACTGCTAGTGACTCCGATGCCCGTAGTTCTACGACTCATAGAAGTGCATGGCTTTGGACTTACAGTACGTGTAGCGTTGATGCAGCGGGTTAGTGCTACAGTTGCACAAGCCTTGGGAAGCATACAGCTACTGGCGTCAACCAAAACTCGCACCAGATCTTGCACCAGCACGAGCTTTCACATGAGGACTTGGCGCCGAACCAGTGCCCCCTGTGCCGTGCAGAGATAGGCCTGAATGGAAGTTATTTTCGTTCGCATTCTGTGGGGCAGGATGGCTGAAACACTTGCACTGTCCCATCTGCAAACCTCATCATGCGCCAGCTTGGCTGTCTGCCAACGAATTTAGACATCAAGAGTCATAATGTTTGCGGTGTTTGCTGCTTGTCAAGGTGGCAGATGCAATGCTATGTGCTTCACGTTCCGTTTCCCCGAACGTTCCTGAACATTGTCAGGTGCCGGTGGAGAACAGGACTGGTTCCAACACATCCTCCGAGATGGATGTGTCCAACACCCATGGATTGTGCCGATGGTGTGCATGGTTGCCATGTAAGTGCTAGCAGAATTGCACTCAGGAATGAATTGTTGCACAGGATTGCACAAAAAATGGGGCGTTAGACAGTGGAAGCAGCTTCCGCATTGTAGCACCACAATGCATTGTGATTTGGAAGCTGCTGGCCTGAGAGTCGAACCCAGATGTGTGGCCTAGGCAGCGAATCCTCGAAAGCCGCCTGCATGAGGAACCTTGCGACCGTGCCCAGAGAGTTGTTCCGAGTCAATGGGGTAGATGGATGAAAGAGCTGCAAACGGGTTTACCAGTTGGATCTTCCAAATGCAGTTCAGGGATTCAGTACATCACTACCTAAGTCACCACCTCATTACGTTGTACGTGCATGTTTAAGCCAATTCGTCGATGCACGGGTTGAGCCTCTCGCTGGCCTTGGGAAAAGGCGCCAGGCCTTGAAGACTACGTTGGCTACATCTTATCTCCTGCAAGATGAAGCAGAGCCTGAGGCCTCAACCATTGCATGCCAGGTCTCACCCTGAACCATAAATTCGCTTTCTGTTTACCCTCCCAAAAAGAAATGGCTGCTCAAGTTGCTGAGATTTGTTGAGCAAAGAGCACCCCGCCTGCTGACAGTGTCAGATGATGTTTCATTGCCACCCTTCATGCGTGGCAGCTTCAAATACGACAAGGTGGCTGGGCATGGTCACTTTCATGGTGAAGCCTGGCCAGAGGATCATTTCTCCTTAGCCGGTTCTGAGATTATGCTTGTTGTAGTCCTTTGTTCGAAGCACTTCTGACATCGCAAGGCCAATGCCGGACCCTTGCTTAGCCCACCCAACTGAGACCCAGGAGCTGATGCCCAAAAGTGTTTAGCTTCTCTTTGCATCAGTGCGCTATGGGCACCCCGGTGTCATGCCAACGAGCGAGCTGCTGTGTAAGCTGGAGACAGCGCCCTGCTTCAATTTGGCCCTGCCTTGGTACAAGTGAAATGTGATGTGGGCTGCTCAGAACCTCCCGTTTGATGTGCGGAATGATACAATCCAAGGTGAGCCAAAGTCTTGTCTCCTGCATCGAGTGCCCCATCTGTGCCGCGGCAGGTTGCATGTGGAGCGGCAGTATTGCTTGGTGTGGTGAGCAAAGTTATGGATGGAAACTACTTGCCATGGCTCAGTAGCCACTGCAAATACAGCATGCAATTAGAGAACTTTGTATGGGAAGTCGCGTCAGAGGCAAGAAAGGAAGGACTGCAAAGAAGGACACCTTAGCTACTGTACTAGAGCTTAAGATGCGATAGCTGTGAAAGCCGATGGCCAGCATGTCGGGAGCGTCGAGGAAGCGCAGAGAAAGACAGAGTTCCCTAGTCAAATAAAGAAGCGAGGACAGGAAATGGGGAATGAAGGACAGGATAGCAACATACATCATCACAAAGAGACTGAAAGCTGAAGACGCAAGCTAGACTGGCTGGGACGGGGGGGACAAGAGTAACAAGACTGGGCGAAGAAGATGCATCATACCATGCAACCATTTCCACAACTGCGCATCTCACCTTTTGCCAAGGCATGGAGATAATGACAGAGGCTGCCAGTGGCTACTGCAACTGGGATTGATCTAAAGAACTGCAGGCCGAGCTCCACCAGGTGTCTTTGGCCGCGCGAAATCGTCGAAACAGTAGAAACCAGTATTTGTCAAGGCTGCCAAGACTCCCACGCATGTTGCAAGAAGCAGCAGTAACAATGTGGTATGCGAGATTTTGCAAGCAAGGCGGGCACTGCTTCTGCATCGGCTGCTTCGGCTGCTCCCTGAGCTCTTCCTTTCGCTGCCCAACCTGCCGAGAGTCGCTTGGCCAAGTCGTGCCTGAGGATGCCTGAGGTCTTCATCCAGCCTTGGGGCCTGATGGAGCTGTGTAGTTCGTGTAGTTGCGAGGCGAAAGGCGAAAACATTTCACGGATGGTTGGTGATCGGGACGACGATCTGAGGCCAGTGGTTGACTTGGTTCGGCAGAAGCCTGGCTTTGACATCAGCAGCGGCTTTTTGCCGATAGGAGCCTTTCTGATTCGCAAGTCATAGGAACTATGTGCTAGCTGTGGGTTGACATGCTGCTCAGAACACCACGGCTGTCAACCGAGTTGAGCCTGAGCTGGGCTGGATTTGATCTCCAAATCTGAGGTTCACTGTGGAGCAGATAGCTGCACACATTCCTCTGCTCAAGGACATCTGTATAGGATTCCTTCATTTCCTTTCGCAGTTTTCATAGACGTGTCAGCAGGCTGCAACAGCTGTTGCAAAAGACCAAAATGCTGTGTGTACTTTTGGTTCACCTTTAGCTTCCAAGCAGCAGGGGTCAAATGTTTGGCTTCCGCAACTAATGACTTTGCTCCAGGACGTTGATCGAGGCGCTTCAGATTTAATTGGTGCTCGTGACAACATTTTAAATTAAATCGACATGGCCATGATCCAGCTCCCAGTCAGTTGCTGTGTCGGCCTATCATTAGGTGTTGCAGTTCCGACTGCTGATTCGGTAGTTGTGGTGTGAGTCGGCTTGATTCTGCAGACAGCCCGCCTCTCCGGACCAGCGTAGAAAGCAAACTTGAGGCAGTTCGAGGCTAGAACTGATATGAACGCGTAAAATTGGCACAAGGCCACGATTTCTTCCAAGAGAGTCGAAGAGCGTTTGCAGGATGTGGCACTGCAAGTCGGGGTGACCCTGGCGCAGAAGGAGTTGGAGTTGGACTCAAGCAGGCAGAGTTGCAAACTCAAGCAGCCCTCCGCAGTCTTTTGAAATGGTTGTCTTGCTGCATGCTCTAGACTCCCCAAAAAGTACTAGATTACATCTGTGAGAACAGGCGTGGCTTGTCCGAGCTGGAGATGTACAAAGCTAAGGCAGGCAGCAACCTGAAGACATGAAGGGCGGTGTGCAGGGCGCGGACGCGCTTTGCAGTTTCTACCACAGTGCTTCAGTGCAGCTTATAGAGCGAGTAGGTTAAGAGGAATCATAGCAGAGACGCCTGTTCAGCAGCCTAGCAGCGCCTAGCAGGGTCCTTCTCAGAGAGCTCGGGCTCACGAACAAAAGGCCTACTCAAAGAAACCTGACTTGCAATTCTGTATGGGACGATTCGTTGCTGTTCTCGCGATGGCCTGAGCACTCTTGGTGACTTACAAGTGAGCAAACACCGTTTTCCCTGCCAGCGTTAAGCAGGCTCGAGGGAGACCCCTAAAGAATCAGATCCCTGAGCAGGCGCAGCGCCTTGAAGCAGAGCTCCAAGCAGCCAGTCTTCGTCGCTTGGTTCAGGGCGTTCTGGGCTCCATAGGTTTGTAAGTTTTAGGTTGTGTAGGCTTTCCAATGGCCATGGCTTAGTCTGGATTTATTGCGGTTGCGAGTTCTTGGGGCTCAGGGACTTCCGCAATTCGAGCTCTTCAATGATAAAGCCCCAAACAAGAATAAATGGCAACGAATAAATGGCAAAGTCTCAGATTCTTCGGAGAGATTTCAGGTTACAACCTAAACCGCTTTAAACTTGCGCTGTTCTTCAAGGTCTGGAAAATCATTGCTTGAATTCTAGTCTGTTATCGATAAGTTATCGAAATGTCCTGCCTTTCAAGAAGCATTTGACCTTGAATCTGACCCCCAAAAAAGGCTTTGAAACAAGGGTGTATTCTATTCTTTGAGAGGCAGGATTAGGGCTCGCGTCTGGGCATGGAATGGTCGTTCCCGCAACTACTCTTCGGAGGCGAAATACTGTAGACGTTAATTTTTGCGACCAACATTGAAGCTAAAGCGAAGGAGGACAAGGAGGACTGGACCTAGATATGGAGAATCAAATGGAAAAAAACATGGGAAATGCAAAGTAAACTATGATATTGTTTAGAGTATAGGGTAGGTACCCAGACATCTCCTGTCGGACTCTCCGCATTGCTTTGAAAGGCTTCCTCAGGGATTTTTTTCGAGATTCACCTTTCACTTTGCCCAGGCTTTGCTAACCTGCGCGAGCAGTGTGAGGCTGTGGCAGCGCTTCAAAAGCAGACCGAGGAGCTTAGGCTTAGTAGTCTCAGCTTTGCTCTCTTCAAGGCTCTCTTCTATATCTCATTTTCGCATCCGAATGAAGTAGAACTCATGCTGCGGCACAATTGCCAGCAGTGCGCTGCTCACTGTAGCATCCCTCGCGGAGGAGGAGGTGCAAAAGAAGTATGAGCAGTGGGAAGAAACATAAACTATATCACTAGGAAGCACAAACCATCTGAAAGAAGACCACGAAACAGCTGGAGAAAGTGCAAGAAAGAAAAACGAAACATTCCAAGCGCTTCAGCTCACAGTATTCCCATCTACAGTATCAAGGCCGAAACCTACACAACTAGGACGGGAAATCGCTTGACATGCCACGGCTCAACAAACGGAGAAAGAGCAGCCTGAGACAGACCAAAGAAATGCGCGAACGAGACAGAATCGGCATGCGCTAACTGTTCCTGGCCGGGATGTTTGTGAGTTGACCTGTTTTGCTCGAAGGAGGACGTGGAGGAGTTGCAGAAGCAGTGCCTGGAAGCTGATTATATAAGTCCCGTGACAAATTACACGGGACTTGCGCTAGATTTGGCTAGCAATGCTAGACTGGGGACAAGGGCACGAGGCGGAAGAATGTCGAAGGTGCACGAGTAAAAGCTTTGGCAGCCGCTGACGTCTTCCAAGATCTCAGCATCTTCGCGCAAACGCATCTGAGGAACCTCCAGCTGCACGAAGAGCTGCGCCTACTGCGCCAAGAGGCCAGGGAGTCCGAGGCACGGCCCTGGATCTCTTGTGACATAGTTGACAGGAAGACGGCAACTACACAGGATTTGGTCGAGTTGGAGGTTGCTGCTTTGCGTTGTTGCGTGTGCAGTGCAGGAGGCCCTGCAGAGAGCAAAGCTGCTTGAGAATGCCGTTGTCAACATGATGGAGCCTTGTTCTTGGATGTCTTCGCTGCCTTCGGCACAGCATTCAGCAATGACTACCTTGGAGACTTACAGCGCCCGATGAGCTCAAGCTGTCTCTTGTGCATGCGCACGAGGAGGATTCGCACAGCATGCTCAATGTGGTGATAGGCACTGGCTGGCAGGACCCGTTCGCAGAGTTCGAGTTCTGTGAGAGGGAGTCAGGTCTAGCCCAGTGGGGAGCAGCGGATATGACATCCAGCCTGCCGTCGTTTGACAGGGTTCGGCTAACCCTCCTCCCGCCCTGAGCCAAGCGGCCACCCCTTCCGTCTAAGCCTGCGCATGTCTGCCAGGACTCGGCTTATCCACTCCCACCCCCAGACGTTCGTAACGACCCTGGGGATTTGTGTAGCCCTGGGGGTTTGTGACGGGTTATACGGGTTCCCGGGGTTGGTGTGCAAACTGGGTTCGTGCCATCTTGGGCGATCCCTGAGAGCCGGGTTCGTGCCATCGTTCGGGCACCCCTGGTACTTTTGTTCGGTCCCGGTAGGCCCCAGGTTCGTGATCTGCTGCGCCTGCCTGGGAATGCAAAACTTCGCGGTTAGGTTGTGGCGTTCGTCAAACCATACCGGGTTCAAATTAACTCTGGCTGGATTCGTCCAACTTCATGTCGGGCCTGGAGGCTTCGTGGAAGCTGTTGCCCTTCGTTCCAACCAGTCTTCAATTCCAACCTGTCGAACAACTTCGTTTTGGGGACCGTGGCCCTGTTAACTTTGCTTAAAACCTCCTCCCGCCCTCCGAATGTGCTGCCCCCCTCTGGGCGCGTCTAGTGTGATGCCAGGGGGATGAAGCAGTCCTGCGCGCAAGCCAGCACGATCTGGATTTGTACCTGGGATGTTGCAGGAGCTCTGCGAGCCAATGTCAGAGAATCAGGTGTGGCAGAAGCTTGGCCTCTTAGCTGTATCAGTATCTGGTAAGGACGGCGCAGCTGCCGCTATTGCATTGGATTCTTCTAGTGCAGTATATTGTTTGACCAAGGCTTGCACGCGGCACAGCACAGCACCTGCTCAATTGCTGAATTTGGAGTGGTTCGCGAGTATCTGCAAGATCTGGGCCAGGAGTGCATGGGTGCCTTGGCTACCGAGTCTTTCGTGTGTTCGGCTTGCGTGGTGGCATGGGCAGTCCATGGCAGTGAGCACAGCAAAGCTGGATGGACTGCAAAAGTACTGCAAATCATCTTTGCATGAGCCTTGGGAGCTTCTCCCTGCATGAGGCAACATGTCCCTTGGCATCTCGCAAGACATGCGGTTCAAACTCGAGTACTACGGCTCTAACCAGCACGTCTTCAATGAAATCGAGATTGAAGGTGGGCCTTCCCCACGTTCCCCTCTGTGGACCCAGTGGACACCACCGAACATGCACTAGATTGGATTGCAGAATTCTGCCGTATCTCCCTCGCCAAGCCACAGCACATGCTGGCTTCTAGCCGGAGGGAAATGCAGTGACGTCAGTGAGGTGGCGGTAGCTGTGATGTTTGCGAGTCAATTCAGGCACGCTATATGTGGAACACCCTTTGATCTTTACTGAGCATGAGGTTTGTTAAAGAGGCAAAGCAGCAACCCCAACTGCTGGTCTGGTCAATGCAGTCCTTCACTCACGGACAGGCTGCGTGCAGGTGGAGGGCCGCCAACTCACATTTCTGGGAGTGCGCTCAGCCTCCTCGCGCCGCTACGACGGGGAAGGACCCTGGCCAGAATTTCAGTCCAGGTACCGCCTCTGAGTTCTATTTGAGGTTCATGTCGAAATTTTGCGAGTAAGCAAGAAGCTTTGAGACCAGGGAGCGTTGCATGCAAGAGTGCTTCAAGCCAGCTTAGGTCCAGAGGTACCATCCGATGAGCACCTGGCGCTACCTCCTTTGAAAGGTGGCTAGTCCGATATGCAATATGGAGACTTCTGCAATGCAAAGATTTGCCCACCCTGTAAAGACCCCAGAAAGTCTTCAAACTGATTTACACATTGCGAACGTTCCATCTTCTTGCGGCAGCCTGACCTTCGGACTACCCATGGGTTCAGTGAAACCAAGCAGATCAACATTGGAAGTTCATTCCGCCTTATTACCGCTGCCAGCTGGGGACGGCCAGCAGAGATGAGGTCTTCTGTGCAGCCGCGGCGACAGCACTTGGTGCCCTGCTTTGATTGGCATGTTGCTGTTCAAGATCTTCGATTTTGTGGTTGTGGTGGGATTCGCGCGGCCTGTTGCTTGTGCAGGTGGTGCTGTGTTGCATGCCAGCCGATGAATTCCCTTAGTGCCTTAGTGCTTCTACGATAAGAAACTGTTTACAAGCTCAACGGAAGCTCAGCTTGGCCTCAATCAGGCCTTCTTCAGTTACAGTCGAGTGCAAGCAGAGGGATGTTGTTGAGCATGATTTGCAATCCCGCGATTGGATGCCGCCTGACTTCTGGTGTGCAACTTTTGCAATCAGGATCGTGCTCTTCGAATTCAGCGCGTGCGCTCAGATCAGTGCCCTGGCTTCTAACTCACCTCTTCAGCCTGAAGCGCGGAGCTCAAGGGCTTGTACGCCTTTTTGCCTCAGTCATTTGCACATGCTTAAGACAACAAAGGTATCTTCAACGCAGCAGACGCTTGACCAGCATTCCAACCTTGAGACACTAGCCGACTAGCTAGCGCGTGCAGAGCTTGATTGCTCTGTCCACTCTCCGCATCTCTACGACAAAGCCATGAGGACATCATCCTGCTCAAAGATCCAGTGAAGCATTTCACCGGGTACCAAAGACTGGCCTGGTGAGTAAAATCAGGCCCCGCAAGCAAGTCGGAGGAACTTCAAGGGTTCCTGAGTGCCCCCTGACTACCCAGTGCCCTTTTGAGTTTTAGATCGTAGTGTTGCTGAAAATGGTTTTGAATTTCTGCGTTGCACACGCTTGGCTCAGCACGGGCACTTGGGTACTCCTCGGCGACTCCTGTCTCTCGAGGTGCTTTGGGGCTGAAAGAGTGCGTTTATCCTGCTTTCGTGTTAGCGATTTGGGCGAGCCGCAGGCATCCCCGAACATGGCCACGGTGCGTGTGGGTGCAGGACACCCCCAGCGACAGTATGTGTAGCCGGCATATTACCAGTTTTGATGTGTGATGGGGCCTTTCTATCATCTGCTGCCAGGTCGCAGCTCGCGGGCACTACCCGCAGCGAGGGCCTTCAGCCAAACATTATTGGCTCAGCTTGGTGCGTACAATGTACGTAGCCCTTCTGTCTTCTGAGGCCTGCTCAGCATGGCATGTGCGGGCAACAGCAGTGTTGGGCTAAGATGCGTCGGTTGTAGGCAAGAAGTGTTCGGGGCTTGGCACGCAGTTCCATTTGCAAGGAACTCAACTCAGTGAGAGCACTGAGACTCAGGTTGCTTCTTCGACACCAACTCGCCCCTGCCTGGAGCTTTGCAGACCTCCTGCTGAGCTGAGCGCTTCTGACGTCCTGGGTTAAGTGGACGTCTCCTCTTCAATTCCGCCAGTGCGCGGCATTGCGCGGCTGAGAAGCAACGACAATATGACAGCATCTGTTTATGAGATGGACTTGCTGCATGTGCAACGTCTCGTTCGGAGAGGCTTCAGATCTAGAGGAAATCCCATACGTTGTGTCTACTTTCAGAGTCCGAGAAACACAGGAAAGGATATGTTAGACCTGGCCATTCGCAATTACGCATTCATAGGTGATGAAGTGATTGATTGAGATGGTTCTTTCCAACACGTGAAGCCGCGGGATTTCCAAAAAGGCTAGGTGTCGCATACTGTCTGCGAATTTCCGAGGCTCAACCTGCAGCAGCGATGCGACGTGCAAGAGCTTCTGCGCATGCAGAGGCTACTTTCCGAACAGACACATGCTCGTGATATTTCTTAAAAGTTCACTGTAGCCATGGCAGCAAGTTAGTGGCAGAGCTTCATCTAAGATGGTGGAGTGAGCTTCGGCCTAACATAGAATCCAACACATTTGACGCAGGTCCACCAGCGACATGCCGCACTCCTTGCAGAGAGCGAGAGGCAGAAGGCCGGTTGCTTTCTAGCGTGGAGAGTCTGCCGCGAAAAAGTCTGGGTTTGCTCTCTTTCCGGATGTCCTCCTTACGTGCCGCCATGCCTACGTGTGCCAGTTCTCGTGCCGCTGCGTTGAATGACATCTGGATGTTTGCTGCAGAACAGCCTGATGAACGCCCCCATCCAAGCCCCTTGTCAGGTTCTGATGCAGCACCGCAGACCGCTGCAGGCACTGAGGGTGACAGCCAGCTGCGGAGGTTTTGCAACGGCATGTTCTCGTTGGTGCTGCCATGAGCATGAATGGAAGCAACGGAAGCGCAAGACTCCCATGAATTGTTGTGGCTAGTCAGCCAATAACACTTACAACATCTCACAACTTCCAGCTGCGCTTGTCACGCGCCCAGTCCATGACACGAGTGCAGTGTTGCCAGGTTGTCATTGATCGCATAGACATATCGCAGTGCGCCATGGTGTTCAGCAGCGCTTTTAACTCATATATCCGGCGTGCGAGCATGGGTATCCAACATGCCTCATGAGCCATAGCAGCCAGAGTTTGCGCTGCGATGCGGCGACGTGTGCTGATCTTGCGCCACGGTGAGAGGAGAGCCTCTTGCGAAGAACGGGGCTGGGCAAGTACATAATAGGGGCTGACTGAGCGCTGTGCCAATGCATTCTCATATTAATCTCACTGCTGCTTTGGCTGAGCCGGTATCATGCCAAGACACTGCCAGCGAAGGCCGCAGGAGTTCCCGGATCCCCAGCTCTCCCTCGAGGGCCTCGCTCAAGCTGAGCAAGTCGCTGAAATGTTTCAGCCAGCTGCCTGAATTTGCCCACTGATCTCATGAGTTTGCGACCGGTAGGCAAAGATCCTCATGCCTGCACTGCGCATGCTTAGAATCGGGCAAGTTCAGATTCTTTAGACCTAGGCAAAGTGGTGTCGGTATCGATGCCATATTCTCGTCTCCTTTCATACGATGTCTGCAGACAGCAGCCCCCGTGGCACGAGCTTTGCGAGCCTCTTCGCGGATATCATTATGTCTACCGTGATTTTGGAGCAGTTTGCCCGCGGCTAGTTGTATCCACAGACTAGCTAGCAGGCGTTGCCCCTCATCCATCGGATACACCATGGACCATCTCAGGAAAGCAGATCCGCGTCGACTGGGGCTTCAGCGAAGTCCTCGGGCACAAGTGGTTGCACTCTGAATGCAAGCAGAGGTGTTGGCGCGGTGTCTGCACCAATTGACTGCACCGCTACATCAAAGCCGTGTGAACGGTGCCAGCGACAAGTTCACTCAAAAACACCGCCCGTGCCCTGACAAACTGCAGATCGGTTTCGCACTCCTGGTGGGACATGACGCCAAAACTTGATATCAGCTAGACTGTTATATCTTTGGCGTCGTGTAGCAACGCTTTGGTTGATAAATTGTGCAGAACCAACAAGGGACTGCCTTCCAGAGTCGCCCGATGTGGAATCCCTGCTCTGTTGCAGGCAGCATTCCGAATTGCCAATAGGATTGACATCCAACATCGAAATGCAATTCAACAGTCCTGGTGGACATTCGATCCCGGACCATGCTACGCTGGAATATGCAGGTATGGCGTGTCCACGACGAAGTCATTCGTTTCTATGTCAAGTAAAGGTACACCTGTGACAGCTGTTCGGGTTTTACTCAAAGTTCCCAGCTGGCAAGCATCATTTTTTTGGGAAGCAGCATTCGCAAAGTTGGCAGCAATGCAGCACCTCAGAATGTTCAATTGTTTGCCAACTCAGGTATCTCCAAAATCCTCTGCCACTCCTTCACTTCGAAGCCTTTCGGATACTCGTTGGATGAACGTATCAGTTACTCGTCAGGACGCACTGCAGATTCCTCACGGACGGGCTTTCATGTCTTCTCGTGGTAGCGTAACTGCCCACGGCATACCTTGCTCGCTTCATGTGAGGACGAAACAGGCAGCGCTGCCTAAAGTTGCAGGCGACCTCATCGATTTGGATTATCACTCTCCAGTCCCCGAGTATCCAGATTTCGAGGGCCCAGCACAGCCAGGTTCGAGCTTCAGAGATGTCCCGAGGCTACAGTGAAGCTCAAGCAGCTAAGCCGCTTACTGCCAAGCAAGAAAGCCCATCAGGTGACACAGCCCAACGTGCGCGACCCATCAGGCGAACTCGAGAGGCCATCTAGTTTGTAACAAACACAGGCGCCCGATGCCCTGCTGGGCAGGCGCTGGACCGGGCAATGCAGGCACAGCCGGCTGCCAGGACCTGAACCCAGCACTTTGCATGCTTCCTGTGGTGAAGTCCCCGCCAGCACGCTACGCTTTGCCTTTGCTTGTTTGGTCCGGGTTTCAAGGCAAAACACACTCGTGGCTTCTTATGCTCCATCAGTTTGTTTGGGTACCTGCAATTCTCTCTTGCTTTGAGGACGGTGCTGGTGGTGGCCCATGGTGCCACACATGACTATGCAACCGAGGCCAGCATGATGGCAAGGGTATGCAAGGGTTGTGGAGCGAGGACCTCATGAGCCTTGCAGGCACTTGCGCCGGGTTCGCTGATGTTGGAGAACCAGGCCTCACACTGGGAGCGGTGGCAGCCTTTATTGCCTTATGAATCGAAGATGATGTGCAACAGGTGCCCTTCTGCGTGTACAACGTGGCCTTCACAACCCTGCTTGAGCGTGAGGATGGCATGCTTCTCGTCGGCGCAAGCAGACATTCTGTTAGAGTACTGGAGGTGAAGTAGTGCGCCGGCATGTCCTGATTGCTGTTTCCATCGCTTTCCGCAAAGGTTCTGCCTCTACGGTTTCAACGAGCCGGTTCCACGTCTGTTGGCGGATGGCTGGCGGTACTCCTTCCGCCCTGTGGAAAGGCGGGCTCGGACTGGATGAGCCCATCACATGGCTTGTTGCACTAACGTTTGTCAGTGGTCCCGGATGCTTTTTTGAAAAGGCTCGATTTGGCTTTGGAAGCTTGGACTGTGGATGAAATGCTTTGGCGTGGTCAACGGAGAACCTCGGAGGTGGTGCGGTCCTGGTTCACAGGTGCTTTCCTGTTTTCAAACCAGGCCCAGCAGTTCGGTAACCCTTGGGTCCTGGCTGGGGGTGAGCATTGCGCCGAAAGCAGTTGATTCCCAACAACAAGGAATCCTAAATCTCTATGTGGCTTTTTTAAGACAGGCTTGCTGTTGAACTTAGGACACTGTCCGGTGCAAGTTCTGTCTCCACACGCTGTGTTTGTGCCGGAGCTGCAGCAGATCTTTGTCCTAGACAGCCTCTCCGGCAAAGTCCGGATTTGTGAATCCAGAGGTGCTCTGCAGGTCGAGGCAGAGCGGATTCGCCAGAGACGCTTGCGCTGAGAAAAAACCCTTCTGATTGTGCTGCAGCAGACTTTAGGCGAATGCTTGCTCAATCTTGCTCACGTCCTTCCATCACCAAGCTTTGCACAGGATAATTCGGTCTATCGTTTTCACGGGCAGGCGCGTCACTGCAACCAAGTGCAAGTTGAACAGGAGCGGCTTGCAGTGGAGACCAGTGTTTCAGTTTCTTGAACTTGCGCTTCATAGACTGGAACCAACTTGATTCAGCTGCAAGGGCTTCCTGCACAGCACCGAAAGTCCCACCCGAAAAGGCAAACTTTCCGCTGTCCTTGCACTGTGAAGGACACCAGAATGCGTGCCCCTCACCTGCCTTCAAGCTGGAGAGCCGCAACCTCAGCGTGAGAAGCTGGCCTTCTTTGGGTTCATCTAAGCCGCATGAGGCTGACTACGAGCCCTGTCCCGTACCAAGTTGCGCGAGAATTCAGGCAACATGTCTGGAGCACGCTTGATCCAACACAATCTCCTTGAATGCTCAGATCCCGCTGACAACCCATATCTTGGAGGAGGTGCTTTCGCGGAGGACGGGGCAAGCCGAGTGAATGCCACGATTTGCAAAATCTAAGATCGCAAGCTAGGTGTTTCGTGTGCGACATCGACAAAGTCACAAAGGATATGCCGTTAAGGCGCTCTTGCCTTTGACTTGAGTGGCTTGCTGCTCAGTAATTACTGGTCACCTCCTCCACAAAGCCCCGACATCGGATTCACTGCACACCACCACCTGCCCTCATGACGGGCAGGTGATGCACCGGCCGAACTTTGCCATGCGGAACATCGAGCTATGCTCTTAGAATGCCTCAGATTCTAGATTGTAAGCAGGTTTGCCGTGCTGGACCTATTCATAAAGCCTTTGCCGCTCACAACCTTGTGCTTTCCGCTGACAGTTTAGGTGCCAGATCGACTCAGAAATCGAAGCCATGCGGCGTGGAACGACCCTGTCAAGAGACCTCGAGGTGCACATGACAGGCCTGCTGCCCCGCACTTCCGACACATCGTAGCCGTTGCAGGATGCGGAGACGTACTTGCTGCGGTTGCTGGACGACACGCAGGATGGTGACTACGCCCGTACCTCATGGTGGCAGCCGCAAAAGGGGCTTTTTCTACAGCCTGGCAATCCCTTGCACAGCTGCGCGTGCTGGTTAGGTTTACCTGCTCCTGGAGCTTTGCGAGCCAGGCCTTTCATGATGCACGCAATTTGCGATTCGCATGCTGAACGGTTGAAACTTTCAGCCTCATATGTCGCAGGTGACTTGCTTCAGAGGCTGAACAGGGAACCGACGAAGAGCCTTTCCGAGAACGAAGTGCGACAAATCGCTTAGCGCCCAGAAAAGCACAATGAGATTTCGTGTCAGAAGCAATCTTCCGTTTAATGCGAGCTTTGGCAAAGTCTTGCTGAGACTCACGTACGGAATCAATCGAGGGTTACGCTGCTGAGGCAAGGCAACTCATGCTTGGATTGAGATATGTGCACCAGCCAGGCTCTTGGCTTATAGGTTTCATAAATCCTGCACGTCTGCGGCAAACCAGGCATGTTGAAGCTTCCTTGTAAGGTTGGGTTTTATCCACAGGGATATTAAGCCGGACAACCTGCTCTGCTCGAGCGATGGCCTGTGGCACTCTCAGAGACTTTTAGTTCTCGTGCCTCAGCCTCACCTGACTCGAATGGATCTTTGAATGCGCTGCAAGCGCAGATTGTGATCCCAATGCGGGGTGCGTCAAGTTAGGTTGCGTATTGCAGACTTCGGCTGGTGCTGCCTGCAGAAGGATGCCCCAACGTGCCTTGCACCAGACTCAGATGCGAATCATACTCATTACTCATTACCATGCAACGATCGCCATACTGAATCTCACAGTCTTCGCTGTAAAGGCATGCTGTGTTGGTCCTGAGGCGGGTACCTTGCAGTACATGGCGCCGGAAGTTCTGGCCAACGCGCGCGCCCCTATCCTTCTGTGAATAGTATGTACGTATGCGCCTGAATGCATGTCACAATTGAACATGTGCAGAGTTATGCAGTCGTGTCTTGGCGTGTGCTTGCGAAAACGCACAGCTGCGAATAAAACGCGTGAATTCTGTGGCTGCTACCGTATGACGGCTGTGCTGCCAGCCGGCTCGCTCATTGCTGGCGTAATGCAACTGTCGCTGTTGATTCCCATCTTGCAGCTGTAGCTTCGTAAGGAGAAGCAAACAGCTTGGATCTCAGACATGCCATGTAAACTATGAGCGCAAGGAGCATCTGAAAGCCACAGCAGCCCGAGGTCAAAGCAGACGTGTGGAGTGCTGGACTGACTCTCCACCAGCTCATGATTGGGCGAGAAGCTCAGCAGACATGATCCCAACATGACTGCTCCGTAAGTACCTGGACCTTGACATTGATCGTCGGCCAGGAACTGTCTGCTGCAGACCAATCTTGGACCCGGTGCGTCTGAAGCCCAACTCACCAGCTGAGCTTGTTGCATTTAAGCCAATTTATGCTTGTCCACCTCCTTTGCGCTGCTGTCTTGGGCTCTGACCCCGGCACCCGCTACAAATTCATGTTTCTTATTCGCAGAATGCAGGTCGGCAGCGTTGCATGCTCAGGACGGGCATGTCGGACTATGACCCGCAGAAGTCTACAGAATGCCGGCAGATGTGGTTGCTCAACGCTTCTCCCTCAGTTGTTCTCCAAGCCCCACATGTTTTACGTATTTGCCCGAGAGAGCAGCTAGTGGTGGGTAGGCTTCTGTTTTGCAGCTGCTTGAAGCATTCTAGTCACTTGTCGCCGCACCGCTTAGGAAATTGATCAGGCCTGTTTTGTCCTCAGTCTTCATGCAGTAGCTGACCTGTGTCATGCTCTGCTCAACTCAACATGCCATGAATAATTATTAGGCCCCCCGTCCAACAACAGCCGGCCTGGTCATGTGAGCGCGCTGCCCGGCGATCCGAAGCTTTCAGTTCCACTTATTCTAAGCAGTGAGCATGCCTGCCTTTGTTGGGCCAGGTCCCTGTGCGTGGGACCTGTTGCAGAAAATGCTGTGCAAGAACCCGGCGGAACGTGTGCAGCCCACATACCAATTGCATTTATGCTGCGATGTGCCTCAGCCGATTGCCTTTCAGGTATTTCGGTAGAGGCTGCGCTAAACCACGAGTGGCTCCGAGATGGGGAGGCGATGCAGATTCAAGAGCTAGACGCAAGATGCTTACCTATCCAATCTGGAGTGCCGTTATGCACACCCAAGAGGGCCAATATGATTATATTGACTGACCCTTCAAGAAGAAGGCCTCGGCGGGTCCCTCTTCACACTTTGGACAGGTGGATGTGCGATCAAGACAAGCGGCCAATCGCGCTGATGTTGTTTGGCTCTTTGTTTGCTTGCGCTGCTCGTTAACTTCTGGCTCCACATGATCGCATGCTGTACAGCCCCATGCAATCGCTACCTGATCCCATGCAATCAAGCTACGGTCCCCCAAATCACCGTCATTTGTGCCAGGTTGATGAGAGGCCAGCAAGCCCACTGCCATCTCGGCGCAAGGACAGGGCCGCCCAAAAGCTCATACTTTAGATTTCAGGGGAAAGAGCTGTAATATTGAACATGGAGCAGTGGAGGTTTTACGAGGATTATGGGGCTTCCACAGGGTTCTGTGTGTGCGAGTTTAAGGATTTTAAGGTCACTTCATCAAGGCCCGCAGTGTAAGATCACACCTCGAAGAAAAAACCGTTGCAACCCGCAAGGCTGATGAAGGCCCTGGTGGCACGAGCCAAGTTTCCAGGTAGGCCGTACGCCCATGACGCAACCCCCATTAATCCAGATATGCATGCATGCTGGTGTAAGCCCCTGCGTTACTGTTAGTATGAACCCAACACCTTACATGAACTCATTGTCCAACATTTCCCCAAGGAGTTGAGATCACCTCCGCTGAAGGGCGACAAGGCTTGCAGGGCAACGAGGGCATGTCGCTTGAACATCACAATCAGAGTAGCTCTCGTTGACATGAAACTTTGCTTCAGATATGCCCGATGCTGGGTTTGGCTCCTGCTTTTCTTCTTTGGCCTGCATTGGCGACCTGCTGGATTTTCATACTTCAAGACTTCAGCGTTCGGCGGGTGAAGCTATACATGTTCAATTGTTGTTGCTTATCATGGCCGTGCATCCGGAGAGCACGCATCAGATCATGTGTCATGCTCTCGCCACGTCTGATCTCAAAGTCAGACATTCGTCGTGGCAGGAGTCTATTCAGGTGCCCACCCCATCGAAACCACGATCTTGGAAGCCGCCATGGCCTTGATGTAAATGAGAGCACGAGAAGCCACAGAGTCGAAAGTGTGTGACAAAACAGTGTTTGACAGATTTTTGTGCGCAATGCCAAGAGATATGCTTACTTGCATGGCTCCTCTCGCCGAAGAGTTCCCCGTCGCCAATCAAGATTTCTTGAACGCTGGATGTGTAAGGAATCTCGGATACTCTCCGCCCGCGCGGAGCTCAGAAAGCTGCGTGTGGTACACCCATTCGTGGCTGTTTTAGATTGCGCTCTTTATTATTGATGTTATGGTGATGTTTGATGGCAGCAGTAGGAGCCAAGAAGCTTTCAGATGGCCCGATATGAATTCCTGACAAGGTTTCGCCAGAGGTCACCCCAGAGCGCACCCGCTGGCCGCAGAGCGATTTCCACATGCCGGAGAAAGAGAACACCACCGATCCCGAAGTGCTGGCTGCTCAAATATTTTTTGGAGACGAAAAAGACTAAAGAACCATCCAGCTCTGGCTATCTAGCATGAAGTTCATGCTAGTTAGCCAGAGCTGGATGGTTCTTTATTCTTTTTCGTCTGGACAAAAATTAACCTTTCAGCCTTAATGGATTCTACAACATCATTGCCAAATCAGGCTAGCAACCTGACAGAGCTGCACATTCTCTAAGGTCTCCAGAGCAGAAAATGCGCTTGCAGAGTCTGCAGATGAAAGTGGAGAACAAGTGGGCCTCTCCGAAGGACATATGGGTCTTTTTGTTTCAGGCTGTCCCTGGAGCTGAGCACCAAAGACTTAACAGATAAGGCCTATAAAGGGCTTTCACCACAATTTTTCAGAAACCGCCGCTGGCTTTGCAATTAGATGCTTCGACAGCAGGACGCGCTTTCGGAGAAGCCAGTGCTCCTCTCAGTGCCTCCAGTCGTCCTGAGAGCAGCAGTATGCTGGGCTCTAACCTACAGACTCCGTACTAGGGTATTGCCAAGTGACTAAGACGGTGTGGTTTATCTAGATCGTTAGAGACTGTCAGCGGATGCAGCGCGAGGTTTGCAGCCAGACATCCAAGCTGGAGCTTGGCACCAAGAGCAGCTGTGCATGAGATCTACAGTTTTCCCTCATTGACTCCTGCGACCGGACTGGAGCAGGAAGTGAGGCTCCTCCTGAGCTAAGCTAAGCGGTGTCATGGCACTAGTTAGTGCCAGTTTGGGATGTTGTCAGCAACCTTCTTTTAGCAAAAAAACCATCCTCCAACAAGAGTTGAAGCGAGCTGGTTGTGCGCGCATTTTGCATTCAAGAACGCTACCGCGTGGATCATTCCAAATTCGTTTTGTCTTGCGTACTACTTGTAGCTGGCATAGGCTTGGTTAACAGTCATTTAGATGCCAAAGGTCACCCCAGCGCCCTCGCTTCGATATGAAGCCGCACCGCAAGACGATTGCCTCGCAGATGCACATCTACCTGTTTAGAAAGAAGGTCTGGCAATACAATGGGCCTTGGAGAAGAAGTTCCCAAGTTTTACATACAAGGACACTCGCCTAGCCTGCCAGGCCGCACTGGGAGCTAAAACGCAGTTTGGGCTTGCGCCCCGGTATATCAATGGCAGCAAGTAGCTGAAGGATCACTTGTGAGTCAGGCAGCCAGCGTTGTTTGGAGAACCTGCTGCTTGGATGCAGTTTGTTGTGGGTTGCCTGCATCAAGTATCTCCGCGGCTTCCTGATCCCTGTGCACTCTGCATTAAGTGCCTGGCACTACCTTGCTGTTGATTGTATGGCACGTGTTTTCGCAGGGGCTAGGGGTGCAGGCCTTGGAACCAGCTGGGCGAATTGCTAGGCACTCAGTTCACAGCAGATCGTGATATCAGGCACAACTTTCTCTGTCTATATGTAAGAACAAACCGAGGCATCCGAATCAGGCAGACCAGGCGGCCGCCATCAAGGCCCAAGACAAGAACGCATGAAGTGGTTCAACGTGAGCACTGCTTTGATTCTGTGCGGAATTTTGCGCACCTTCTTTCAGACAGAAGTAGAGACAGCATTTGCCAAAGCGACGTGTGATATGTGGTTTGCCCAGCTTCTTCCCTTCCAAAGCCCTTGTATTGGCTAGAAGAGCTGCAATAGTATGCCCGCTTGCATTGCGTGCCAGGGGGTGGGACTTTTGCCGGAAGTGCCAGAAGAAGGCATTGAGGGCAGCACTGCGCGAGAACTGTTGACGTCTGCGCATGAAAGATGTTGGGTGGTCTGGGCCTACAAGTGTAGCAAAGAAGTATTGGTAGTTGCTCGGCAAATTGTCTTGCCAGGCTGTGGAAAGCCTCATTCAGGAGGCTGTTCATCTGTAAAGGTCCCTCTCGGGCAGCCACCCGTGTTGGGCCCTCAGGGCAGGTTCTCTTGGTGAAACGAGTTGCAAGAGCGAGATACACGGGTTCAAGGCGGTCACCCTTCGCGGAAACAGGGTACCCGCTGACAACATCGGCTCAAGCCTAAGCAGTTGTTCAGCCTTTTACCCTCCCAACAGAGCACGCATAGCACGCTTAAACCCCAGGCCCCGCCAACCTGGTTCCATCCACGCGGCCTCGTGGTTTGGATCCCAGACCTTGTCAGGCTCCTGTAGCCTCAAAGCATTGTGAGGACCAGGGTCATCATGCGAAGGTGCTGCATGCCTTGATGTCTCGTAACAAGCTTTCCGAGTACTCCCCGCAACCAGATGCCTCAAACTTAAGCAATACCAAGGCTGCCTTGCCACAGACGGCCGACAAGACGCTGGAGGTGCTGACGCCACGTACTGCAGAGGCGATGGCGCCAACACAAACTTGTGCAGGTTTCCAAATCTTTTGACTGGGTTGGTTTGAGGGTGGGATGCTGTCGCCTGCATAAAGTGGGTGTTTTGGGTCAATAAAGTGCTCCGAGGAGACGCAAGGGGCAAATGGCTGCGCAGATCCATGATGTAGCCTGCTGGTTGTGACAGGTTGGAAACAAGGTACCACCAATGACAGGCCGCAGTTGGGCTGGGAAGCGCACGTTGGTCAGGATCTGCAGGCTAGGATGGCAATATCTGGAAGTTTTTGTGCAGGCAACGTTCGCTCGGCCGCTCCAGGAGCGAAGGCGTAACAACTCCTGCCACATCCCCTCTAAGATATGTGGTCTGACACATGCATGAGAGGTCGAAGTTAGTAGCAGTACCACCGACAGGAAGAAGACACGCTGGGTAGTATCAAATGGGACTGCAGCAGGTCCAGCATCCTGCGGTCGAGCTCCAAGCAGAACGGTTGGCTAGACTGGCTGGATGGCTTGCTTTATCAACGCAGCCGTGAGAAGTTTTTCTGGCTTTTGTGGTGTGACTGCTAAGTTCTGCCGCTCGCCACAGCACAGGGGATATCAGCAGGCACGCAAACCATCTGCTAGGGCGTGCTGAGTTGTTTGTAGAGGTTTGCCGAAAGATCCGTTCAGTGGTCTTGAAGCACCATTTCAACATGCCTCACGCAGGGTAGCCCGCTTCGCCATCGTGTACAGCCCCAGCTGGGACCCAAGATTTTTGGCGAGAGAGGTAGTGTGAAGAGCAAGCATTGCCACCTCCAGCATATTTGGCCACCTTTCATGAAACCCAGGGCCGCACATCGACCCGTCATCCAAGTGCAACAGAGCGCACCAGTTCTGTCGCAGGCACTGATTTTTCCCCTGTTTTGTAGTGTGCCTAGGGCACAGTGTCGTTTTAAAAGTCTCAAAACAACTGGGGAAGACAGCTGGCCGCCGCAGATACGCCCGCTTCCAAATCAGACGATGTACGCTCCAAGCGCTGGGGTCAGCCCGGCGCATGAAGTTACGGCATGGCAAGGGAGGGCAAAGGGAGGGCACTGTGTTCTGTGCACAGCCAGACTTGGAAGACTGCTGGCCAGGCCGCTCTGATGCTGCCCCATTGGGGCCGTCAGTCACCCCCGCGGCGGGGACCCCGGGACGTTTGCAACAGGATCGGGTGCTATGCCACTATGCCTCATGTCTGGGCTTCCGGCAAGGCACGCTGCTTATGCCCAACAGACGGCTGCTCACCGACGGCAGTCTGTGTTGATGGCTGAGCATACCAGATGTCGTGCTTAGGGCAGCAGCTTATACGTCGCAAAGACTCAAAGACTCTGTACGGGGTGGTTGCATTAACTTCCACTTGAGAGTTGAGTAATGCGCTCGTCCGCAAGGCCAGATGCGGTGCCACCTCAGGGGAACATCCGCTTGTGAGGTTCTTGGCCAAGAGAGCCATAGATGGCGATGCCATGGGCCCTCCTGCAGCCGGGGGAGGGCATGGCAGGCTGCCCTGAAGCTTTGGCCAAGATACTTTGGAACCGAGTGCCCGGCAGTGCTGATGCAACTGTGGGACCGCGTGCGCGCTTCTTGGGTTCACGGTTTGTGCAAGGCAAGGCGACATTCTGCAATGCACGCTTCCCACTAGTGCAGACGAACCAGTGCATAATAGCTGCCTGTGCAGGGCTTGCAGTGTAAATGTGTGCTTCTAGATCTATCCTCTGGGGTGTCCTAGCTAGAGCAAGATATTGATTTGAGCAATGCAGCCTGTGATCAGCTTGCTGTCCTGTGCGGCAAATTCGTGTAGTTTAGATGCAAGCGTTGTAGAGCTGGCAAAACTACCCAGGGCTGGGCGACCTGCCTGCTTCAAGAGGCCAAATTCAGTTGTCCACAGCGCTATGCATCAGTATTGGATGGCCTCAAAATACATTTCGAAGAACAGGCAACCCCCCAATTCTGAGCTTCAAGATACCATAGGACCATGGAACACCCCAAACGCGGGCAACTTGGACACCTGAGCTGTGGGCTGCCAGCAACGCTCCTCACCTGCGAAGACGAAGCAACCGTCTTTCGCATGGGGTGTAATTCAAACCACGTAGGCGTGCTAGCTGCTAGCGGTAGAGCAAACAACAAGTGGTGAAGGGGCGTGATGCGTCTGATCGGAGAGGGCCATGTTGCCCCATGATTTTGTTTCTCGCTCCACGTGTTTCGTCCGGCTTGATCTTGGCTAAGGCTTCTATATACGGTTGACGCATGACACAATGGCTTGCCCAATTGAGCATTGTGGGTGGCCTAGATGGTGATTTCTTTGCAAAGTTTTCTCTCAGAACCATCCCATTGCCAGATGGCCACTGAGTCCTGTTCACATTGCATAGCAGCCCACCCTCATGCGCACTGAACATCACCAGCAGAGCCAAAGGTCCGCAGCGCCAGAGCTATCAAACGCTAAGAGCACGCACAAGCAGGCAGGCAGACGCGCAAACATCACCAACCGGCATCCACAGCCTAGCAGCTTGGCTTACCATGCCTGGTTTGCACTGAGTCGCGCAGCGGCGCTGAGCAAGGCAAGGCTGTTGAGTGTGGTGAGCTGCCAGGACGTTTGCACTTGCCAGGCCATGGCTGAGGGCAAGGAGTCAAAGGAGACCCCTTTGCAGCGAGAGACGCGGCTGACCGGCAATGCCGACCTTGTGCCTGATTCATAGACAGGCAGACTTTGCACATCTTTGCGCTTTGGCTTTTGCTACCCTTGAGATGCAACAGTGGCAGAGCCCACCAAGACTGGACTTGTGAAAGTTGGCTCAGACCAGCCCAGCATGCTGCCTGAGGTCCGCCGTTGATGCTACGCTGCAGGCAGAAGTTCAATAGGGGGCGTGGAATGACAGAGTGAGCAGGACAGTTCTCTAGCAGCTTGATAGACTGGACTGCTTGAGGGCGCTCTGGGACATGAGAATCTGAACGAAAACCCATACAGTAGCAAGGGTGATTCCTTGTACAGTTAGAAAGCATAATTTAACCCTTGCCAAAGGCGATGCTGGGGCAAAAGTCGAACTCAGTCCTGGCGCGGAAGGCCTGCTTAGCTGTACAGCCGGAGATCTAGGAGGACCCATCTGTACATGTATATATACATTCATAGTAGTATACATGCGTAAGATACATTGGCAGGAAAGAAACAGATGCGCATCACATGCAGCGAATACGGACACGTGAAGTTGAGGAGGAGCATGCTGCCCGTGCTGCAGGTTGTTGGCCGATGGTGCCAGTCAGCAAATGTTGACACCTTAGATTGTGCAAACAGGGTGCAGGTGAAGGCTGTATACGGCTAGACTACATCACACCGCATAGTTATGATCAGGCTCCAGAATTCCGGGAAAAGATCCGGGACTACCTGGGCCGCCTAGATGAGCAGGCGGGGACAAAATTGTTTGAAGAGCTGCAGATTAACACGTTTCAGCCCAGTGCCTATACTCCGCTTACATGGTGCCTTCAGCGCATTCTTTTTTCCAGACACGTGTGGCAACATGCGGTAGGTCCTGCTCGGCTTCTACATGACCATTTCCCGTCGCGTGGTCGCTGACCTGGCATTCTAACGCACTGGCTCCCCTTGCTGGTGGCTGAGCCGTGGTCAGCAACCGCGACCAAGGAAATGATGGATGCCGGCCCAGCCCCAGTCTAAGCGAAGCTGCGCGGCCAATCACGGCGAAGTACTTTTGTTGATGTGCTGTATGCGCTGTCAGAACGCATGCTGCAAGTCATAGAGGCATGCTTCCATGCTTTGCTCCGGCTACCCTGCCGTCCGTGTTTGTGATGCTGGGACAGCTTGATCAGAATATCTCAGAGCCTCCATGATCTTCATGCATCTTCATGCACCTGTTCAGCCTTGGCTATGCGCTCGCCAAATGCTTCGTGCACATCCTCCAGTTCTCAGCAGTCCTGAAAGATTACCCTCAGTCCACAAGTCAGATGAATTTTAGCCTTTGCGCCCGCGTATGAAGCGTGGCTTTGAGCACCTCTCAGCCGAGCTAGCTGAGCAGCTAGCTGCCATGGGCGGTGCGCATTCCCGTGCTGGAGAGGGCAAGCCAGGGTCCGGGCCCGGGCCTGGGCCGCAGGCGAAGCAAGGCAAAGGCAGCTCCTCGACCATCAACGTGGAGTCTCCTCATTATACCCGTAGATCTGTACTCGTAGATCTGAGCGTGCGGCGTGTGTTGCAAGCTTGCTCATTCCTGAGGCAGATCAGCAGCCATCGGTGTTGTCACTCTCTTGAAGGAGCCATGACTGTTTGATGGTGATTGGCGTTTTCGCAATGCGGTAATGGGTAATGAGAAGCTGTTTTCGAGTTGTGGCTGTTATGCGGATGGTTTCGAGTTGTGGCTGTTGCAGGGATGGCATAGGGAAAGCCCTAAGTGCGGGACGGCGGCAGCGGCGGCGGCAGCAGCAGCAGCACGCAGTGGAAAAGGGGACACCAACTGGCAGTCAACAATTGCAGAGACTTCCTGGCATTCACGACTCATGCCGCCGCACCAGTAGAAAATCTAGGCAAATCTGGCACGACGCGCCAAGTCGTCGTAGAAACAGGTGCAGCGCATGTCACGGCCAATATACCATCAGGCTCCTGCCCTGGATGACTGTAGACACCTCCACTCCCAGGCAGTCATGATGTAGCAATGTAGCATACCATAGCCTAACAGACTCGTACAGCGAATTCTGCCGCTTCTCGCCGTACACTAGCTTACTGAGAGGCAAGGGCATTTACATAACGTATACAGGTTCTGTCATTGATTCGATGTCCTGCTTCGTGCTTTTGAAGTCATGGAATCTGGTTCGCGTCGTCGATCAGCAAGGGAAAATAGATGCAGTCAAATCAGGAGATCGACGCGGCTGTTTGTGATTCACAAGACTTTCTGAGCCTCGGATATTTGCTCGAGCCGCTCAGATGTTGCACTAGCTTCTGCTTAGCTTCCTGGTTTAGACAAGGCATGCACGGAGCCTTCGCTGATGTTAAGCCTGGAATGAGGTGGATGGATGCCGCAAGCTGCCTGGCTGCGGAGCGACGCTTGCAAGCAGACAGCTCGGGCAGCCGCAGTAGCACTAAACCGCATGCTTGGGCGGGCTGGGGCATGGTCTTGGTAAAGTGTAAAGCGTTGCATGTGTAGGAGGACTTAATTGCCCGCGGGGGCTTTTAAGAGGAGCCTGTGGCGCTGTTCACGAGAAAAATCTGAGGGCACTGCGGGCGTTCCGCTGTGACGCTAGCCAAGATCTCAGGGGTGGAATGCAAGAATCATGCCGTGCTAAAGCTAAAGCATTTCTTGTCAAAGTTGACGGGCCAGCTAGCGGCCAGTAAAATTGACAGGGTGCCGAGCTACAAGGTCATGGACGACCTGGATTTCACAGACAGCGCCTTTGAGCTCCTAAAGCGAGGACGACGGCCAATACCCCGTGACATCCCGTGACCTCTAAAACGTTTTTTGTTGAAGCGCCCGAAGCCGTTGGTTGGCTCGTGGCAGATCGCTCGCTTGTGGACAAGCTGCTAGCTGCTAAGCATGTAGTGCCGCAACTCTTGCACAGGAGAGCGCTGCATCCTTGAAGGGAAGGCCTTGTCCGGTAGATGCTGGATGGGAGCAATGGGAGCCGCAGGACATGATGCAGCATTGTGCTCGGCTCGACACAGTGGAGAAATTGCAGACCTTTGCCACACCTCCACGTGCCTGCAGTTCGACGGTGCAGCTTGCGCAGGTGACCCGGGCCTTCGGCAGCTCCATGGAGGTCGGCAGAGTCAAGTTGCAGTCGGGGTGTAATGAACGTACGGATATGTAAACTCCTCCAGAGCTCTTCCAGTACTAGTCAGCAAGCTGCGAAGGCAAAGGAGTTTTATGGTCTCTTGCCATGGACCTTTCAGGTTGTCGTGCGGATTTCCGTGGCCCACGTGCACACAGGCAGCTCGACCAACAAGCCATCCCCCTTCAGATGCCTCGTAAGAAAGAGCCATTTTTCCTTATGACACGTGGGCGCGGGACCGTCGCTGCGAAAGTCAAGGGGGGGGCCACCATCGCGCACCAATGGGGGCGGGGACGTGGTACTCTGTAGTTCCCCAATATTGTTTGATGTTTTTTGTGGCTGCATTTTGGGAGGATTACGTGACGATTAAGCGCCAGTGCTTGGTACCACGTCCCCTCTGGGTGTGAGGATCATGCAAGGATTCTAAAGGATCATACGGGATTGTATAGGGATTATGTGAGGATTATATAGGGATTTTATGGGGGTTATGTGAGGGTTGTATACGGACTTTCCATAATGTAGGGATCATACAATAGGGACTATGTGAGGGCTATATAGGGATTTATAGGATGATGTGAGGATTACATAGGGAAGACGTAGGGAAATCCTCGCAGAATCCCTATAGCCCGCATATATCCTCATATGTTACTCCCGGAACGCAGCCACGGAGACGCGGTACCAGGCACTGGTGCCTATAATCCTCCCACAATCCTCCTAGGACGCTGCAGCCACGGGACGTTCACCAAGCACCAGTGCAAGGTAGGTGTAAACTATTAAGACAATACAATGAGGCTTTGTAGCACGCATATATATATATACATATGTATCTATGCACGCACATTGTTAGATATGCACACTGTACTTCTACTGCTCATGGGCATGCTCCTTGTTCTTCTTTGAAACCTTCATATCTTTAATCTCTTGTCCTTGACGTCACAAGCATGAAGAAGTGCAAACAAACAAGACGTAGTTTCTCAAAATAATTCGACTCGGCCCCCATTCGTTTTGTAAAACAATGAAATGTAGCCATTCACTTAACAACCGTACAGTTTGATGTTGGACTATGAACAGGTGCGCCCTCCCCCATTTTATAAACCAAATGTGAACTCATAAGCACTTTTATTTTCACGGCTCACACCTTTTTTTTTCCATAAAAGGTGCCGCTTGACACTCTTACAGGTGAATAGCGTAGAGGGGAAGTGTAAGAGAGCGCTTTGGGCCCAGCCAAAAGGAAGAATGCAGACTTACACCGTGCGGGAGGTGTTGGAAACATTCAGCTTCAGCCTTTATCAATACCCTGGTCTCCTTCGGTACTGACCATGGATCTGGACCGGCTGGGCTAAAGGGCCGGCCTTCGTTAACAGTGGAAGCAGAGCGCATGACTTAAGTATTTGTTTCGGAACCAATGAACCATGCCCCACAACTTTGCACAGCGCACATTGGGGTGTACATTGGCACAGAGAGCTCCTAACCCCACTGAAGTTGAAGGCTGAAATCTGACGACTCATGCCTGAACTGGTTGTGTAGCGGCTGAATTGCTGCGTGCCATTTGGTGCCAGTGGATGGGCTTGTGACTGTTAGCATTTTCAGGATTCCGTGGCCAAAATGCTCTCGAGGTCCTGGAGGTAAGGTTTGGTTCGGCAAATGAATAGATGGAATCTGAGGCACCCTGCGCATGGCTTCTTGTTTGCAAATGACTGCAACTGTGTGCGAATGTGTCTCTGAGGTGTGTCATGTAAACGTAACTGAGCCGGGCAGTTTTGCCGGACCTGACGTCCAAAAGCTGCCAAGGTGGGCAGTGCTTACTTCATGTACGTCGTCCTCAGAACAGATGCAGACAAGGCGCGGGCTAGAGAAGAGATTGAAGCATCATCTGGACGCAAAGACCTGCCCAGTGCATCTCAGTACGGGCTCTGGGAGGGATGTAAAGGAATCTGAACAGAAAGCAAGGCATGCGTTAATTACGTTACAAGGCATTGCAAAAGCATGTCTTCCAACAAGTTTCAGAGGTCATGGGCGCCGGCGCTTCCGAGATTTTGTCTCAACTCCCTAACAGTCAACGGAGGAACCCTGGCCCTGGTCAACTCTATCTGCCCCTATCCTGCTGAATGCTTGCTGACCTCGGCCAGGACAAGATCACGATTCCCGAGTTAGTTCCTGTCACAGCTGAGGAGGGTTGCCGGGTTTAGTGCTCCTTCGTCATGATGACTTGATTCGAGTTTGGTGGAATGATTTGGCCAGAAGATCTGGTGCACTAATTTGGCAGTCATACTATCTCTGCGTGTGTGGGCTTCTGTGTGACCATGCAAAATTATCATTGTGCTGCCTTCCTGTCTCATGTGCATGCAAGAAGCGCCAAGCAAACTTGCTTCTTCCCTTCGCAGTGCGACAGCAGCCTGTGTGAAGGAGCATTTGGAGTATGGCTTAGCTGAGCGACGTAGGCTGGGACGCTGCAAACAGCTTCTCTACACCTTCAGTGTTGGTGTTTCACAAGTGGTTGGTTCTCCTGCCCAGAGTACGAAGATGTATGGGAGTCTGGGATCATGAAGCAAGCACGCGATCCGTATGCCAAGGTGGTTTTCCCGAAAGAGAGACCCCTGAAGTTACATCCGCGAGACAGTTTTTGTCACCTGCATGCCATCATGCAACGCGCAAGTCGTTGGGCATGTAGCAAACATGTTGTTCCTGCAGGAACTTTCGCAAGAGCCGGGAGCAGCGAGTCGCTGCACTGACAAAGGCATGAGTAGCGTCCACCTGGTTCATTGAAAGCTTCATGTGTGCCTGTCTATGATTATGTCAATGAAAACATTCCGGACTGAATGAGTCGCAACGATTATCATCAGAATGTGCTGCTTCCATGAGACAAGCTAGAGTCCTGTTGGAAGGAGGCGGAAGCAAAGAACACAAGCTTCTCACCGTTGCAAGGAGGCCCACGCATTTGCAGTAGCATTTGCTTCAGTTGGGATTTGGATTAGCTTCGGGGGTGTTTGGCAGAAGGAGCTCAGGACTGTGAAGGATGACATATTGATTGTTGGTTCAATAGTTGCTGCACTCCTGCAGCAATGCTGCACAAGCAAGTCTGTACATCACGCTTCAAGCATGGGCCATGCTCACCTTGCATGCGTATGGAAAGCACGGGAACCAAAGCTGCGGCAGGGTCGGCTCTCACCTTCACCGAACTGGTTTTGCCCCCGCATACCAACCACATGGGAAACACCTTCGGTGGGCAAATCATGTCGTGGATGGCAGCTCTGCTGAAATAATTGCTTTGAGGGCCAGCAGCAGCGAAATACGGGAGGACAAGCGACATCCCATTAGCCTGACAGTACCAATGATTGTCAGAAAGCGTGGATGCGGCAAGACAACGTGCGGTTCTTATTTGGAGATCGTGCTTGGCCTAAGGCCAAAGGAGCAAAAACGGCTGTCTGGCTGCATCTGAGGATGGAACGGATTCAAGATACCATTGCACATGTGATCATGTATTTGATCTGGAATGCTGGCAGGATGTCTTGTGCTCCCCGGCTTGAAGGCGACGACAGTCCTCCAGCATCAGGTGTTGGAGGCAGGACCTCAGACTCTGCTAAGACGCCAGGCTGAGCTCTGACCAAGGTCGCGCTGAGAAAGCATGAGACATCGTGAGACTATCCAACTGCCATTGCCGAATTTGCCTCAAGTCATGGACTGCGACCCATAATTCTTGTTCAGGTGGCAAGCACATCGAAGTCGAACAGCTCAAGGACCATAATGGTGTGCAGGGAATCAGAGACTTTTCATCCACAACCATTTTCCATGTGCTGAAGCAGAAGGACTTGTATTTGCGGCCTGTGAGTGTGGATACCGCCGCCAAGCTGAACAGAGATGCAGGTCATGGTTCAGCAAGTACTCTTGAGTACCGATTCAAACAAGTCCCACGTGCTGAATGCAGACAATTCCACTATGCAGGTGCATTTCAAGGCACCCAGCCACATCGGCGATAGAGTGGCGCGGCAAGACTTGTAGGGTGCTTGAGTTGCCTCAACCCCGCGGGGGGGAAACGATAGATGCATTCCAGGTATGTCTTGTGAAGCTTGCAGTGTTACATGGTGCCTGATGTTGCATTCCGCACTATTCTGCTACTGCCGTGGAATGAGGTGCTCGTCAATGCCTGCGTGACCCGAGTATTTCCCTCGAGCATCGAGGTGAAAGTGCGCGTCACCTCAAATTCTGTCGGCACTCAGGACGTTCCCACCGAGGCCAGGGGAGATGGTAGACTCATTGAAACTTTGTTTATGTGCAACCCAATATTCCAGATGCCCTCCCAACAGGATCAGGATCGGACAGCAACGTTTGGGTCTGTTTGGGTTGGGGCCGGCGGACTACTTGCATGATTTGGTCAGGTCCTGCCTTTCAAGTTCACATTGGCTTTTGTCCGCAGAGCTGTGTTGCACTGCACTTCTGCCTCCACAAGCAACATGCAACATTTTCGGAACATCACTTGTTTCTATCCATTTCAATCCCGTGGCTGGCCCTCTACTTCATGGCTACACTTCTGAAATGAATGACTCCATGATGGGAGCCGAAATATGATGACACAACCCATTGTCCAGCAGTCCAAAGCACGCACAGGGTCGGGAAGTTTCTGGTATGATCAGATGAAGTTGAACCAAAGGTCTGCTTGTCGGCCTGCCTTATCACTGGCTGCAAGCCATGCACCGTGGAAGGTGAACGAAGGCTACATGAACTTTGCCGTGATGGGCCCAGAAGGGCCGCCTCTCGGCCAGGAAACAAAGCTGAACAACTGTGCCTGCTCAATTTTCGTCAGCCAAGGCTGACGGCTTCCGTTGCAGATGTGGTTCCTGGCACAGTAGAGCAGGAGGGATGCAGGAATAGAGATAGTCTGACGGACCTTGGGTTTCCCCAAAGTTTTCCCCAAAACCAAAACCTGCTGGGCTGAGGGCAAATTTGAGGCAGTTGAGGCTGGGCAAAACAGGCCTTTGAAGGGTCCAGACAAAAAGCATCAAAAAGCATGGTAAAGCATCTCTGCAGCCTTGCCGCTTCGATCTTGGGGGATGCTGTCAATGTGTGAGCTTCAGTCCCATTTGATAGCAGCGACGCGTGGCTCGACTCGACTGTAGCTTTGCTTGACGTTCCAACTGGCTTCCCTGAAGCCGCACCCTGACGCTGAGAATAGTTGAGAATCCCGGGCCTAAACCTGAAAGAAGCGCAACTAGATGTCAAAACACATGCGCAGGATGCCGAGCACCGCAAGGCTGTTGCCCGGCAACAATTCCGCGAGGTACGTCGGACAGATGGAAGAAGGCAGGGGGCTGCATACTGTACTCAGGAAAGGGGCTGACCCAGTGTTGTGGGAGGTTTGGCTTGAAAGCCGCCAGTTTGGGTCACACTTCCTGCCTATTGTTGCCGGGCCCGTTCTTCTGCAAGAGGTTTCTAAACGTCAACTGGACAAGTGTCATGTTGCTCAAGCCTGTCAATACCCGCTGCCTATTGGCCTCAGGGGCTGGATAGAGCTTGGCAGTTCACCCATATATAACCAAATCATGCGGCGATGGGCCACGTGGCTATTCCTTATTTGTCTCTCCGGGGCTGACAACGATCGGAAGACTCACTTCGAGCCTTGGTCTCCCTGTCACACACTGCATGGCAACGGCAAGGCAGCCTTGGTGACAGGAATCACAGGGATGCTCGGAAGCCATGTGGCGGAGGCGTTACTTGAGCGTGGATATAAGGTCTACGGCGTTGTGAGACCACGTAGTAATGTAAGGAACCTCGCGACGTTTCAAGCTAAGATTGAAATTCTGACTGCAGAGCTGACAGATCCTTGGCGAGTGCTACGACTGATGGAGCAAGTAAAGCCGGACTACATATTTCATTTTGCTGCTCAGGCGTTCAACAGCCTGTCTTTTGATCAGCCTGCTGAGACGCTCTCAACAAACGTGATGAGCACGCTCCACATTTTGGAGGCAGCACGTCAACTGAAAATGCAAAACACTCGCATTGTCATTGCGGGCTCTTCTACTGTCTATGGTGCCTCTACCGAAGATTGGGATGGCCCGGTTCCCGAGGAGGCAGCGATGAAGCCGGTGTCGCCATATGGAGTTAGCAAGGCTGCAAGTGAGCTTTTAGCTCTATCATATTCTCGGGCCCATGGCTTGCATGTCATCGTTCCACGTTTCTTTATTCATTTGGCACCTCGGGGCGTGGAAGCGCTGGCCTTGCATGATTTTGCAAGGCAAGTCGCCATGGTGGAGCGTGGCCTCCTTTCTCCGCCGGTGCTGCGCCATGGAGATTTGTCAACGCGACGTGACATCACAGACATCGTTGACTCCGCCCCTGTGGTGGTGTGCTTAGCAGAAGTTGCCCCCACCAACACCGTGGTGAACTTGGGGTCGAATGTCTCATACAGCATGCAGCAGCTGCTTAACGAGCTTGTGTTGCTCAGCCCTTCGTGGAGTCCAGAAAATGATTCGGGCGGTCCTTTCAACCTTCGCCTGGAGATGGATGTGTCGCGTCTGCGGGCATATGACGAGCGAGTCGTCATGGCGGATATCAGCCGGGTCCAGAAGCTGACGGGTGCCTTTGCTGTTAGAAGCCGTTCTGTTCCGTACTGACCCAGAAGAAAGGAAACTAAAAGGAGATTCTTAAGCCTTCTCTGTTGAACCTCAGCATATCGTGAGTCATCTTATCGGGTGTCGAGGATGGGTTCCTCAGCCCGACATGCCGCGCCTGCTGCGCATGCTGTTGGACTACTGGCGGCACGAGACGGCATTCCGCTATCCAGAGTCTTGGCTATGCCCTGGAGATGCACGGTCTTTCATGCGCAATTGTCCTGTCAAAACTTTCGACAGAAGATTCGGCCATCTTGTTGCATCATTCAGCACTTGGGAAGCATGGGTGGTGTTTGTAGCCTCAGGCCTTGGGGAAAGAGTTTGTGATGCTGGAACTGATTTGGCTCAAAACTAGGGCCTGGCTTTGTCCACTCGCTTGTCTGCCTCAGACCTAACCTCCCGGCCATGTCGAGCACCAAGAAGCAGTCGAAGGCCTCGAAGTCTGCGGACTCTATCAATGCCCGTTTGCAGCTGGTGATGAAGAGTGGCAAGCATCTTGGACTGGAGAAGAGAGGGCCCATGATACAGGTGTGTATGTGTGATTCGCTGGCTTAGGGCTCGTACGTGACGTTGGAGACTCCACCTGCGCCGTGATGAGGTACAGCTTGGGCTACAAGACTACGTTGAAGACCCTGAGACAGGGGAAGTCGAAGCTGGTGCTGTTCCTTGGCAGAAGCTGTCACAAAATCTTCGCCGGGTACTTGTAGCTAATCGAAGCCAGCTGCCGCTGTTTCTTTATTTGGAATGCTTATAGGCTTGAATGCCACTCAGTTGCACACTCAAACGGGCTGAATCATGAAGAGCGCGCAGGATCTCAAACAATTGCCCCGCGCTCCGCAAGAGCGAGATTGAATACTACGCCGCCTGACATGAGTTCATATCCTTCGGTTTCCCAGCTTCTCATTGGCTGAAGTCAGTGATGTTGGTTTAGCTGCTTGGGCGCAGGCTATGCTGGCAAAGACTGGTGTCCACCACTTCCATGGCGACAACAATGAGCTCGGCACCGCCTGCGGACGTTACTACCGTGTGAGCTGCCTGTCCATCACAGACCCAGGCCAAAAGCGTAGTGCTTTCCGCTGCAGCTTTTCAACCAGACACACTAGACCTCACAGTGATGTCAAAAACTCTACTAAGGGGTTAAGAGGCGTCTAGATATATGGTGGGGAGTACTTGCGGTGGAGCCTGCCTTCTGCAGGTGACTCTGACATCATCAAGTCCCTGCCTGGCCAGGAGTGAGGCATGAGAACCATGGCGCGTGGCGAGTGGCGAGCAAAAAACGAGAGCTCATGAGAATCGTATTTTGGAGAACGGTGTCTAGTTGTTTCAAAGTGCTGCAGCACGCAAAGCTAAGGAACGGGACTCGCGCAGGCCCACAAACTCCGAAGACAGGAGCGATTTCATGGCAGAGTTATAGAGATCTGCCCCGAGCGAAGACGTTCAAAATTGGCGCTGCTGGAGCTGCACTGCATTGCCTCATGGTCAGAGTCACCAAGTCACTTTTGAAACGATAGCAGTCATGGCCATTATGGAAAAAGTCTGAGAAGTAGCAGCCTTATGCAGCCTTAAGATGGGCGATCGCCACGCCGTACATCACAACCGTTTTGAAGATGGTAAAGCTGCCGGTGCCAGTTGCCGGAACAGCGGTGGTCGTACATGGCATAGCGCATTCCACTGAAAACAGCTTCAATCTATGCAGCCTCGCAGGCATGGCTCAGAATTAAGCAAAACAGGGAGCCTCGAACATGCGTTAGGATAGAAAGGAAAGTTACTGACAAGGTCTAGACAAGGCGATTTCAATCTGCACCTGCAAAGTTGTGCCAGGTCATCTACCTGCCCCAAGTCATGTCTCTCGTGCCTTGGGAATAAAATGCTTGCAGTCGGGGTCTAGCTGTCAACATACTATTTCCTATTCTCAACTAGTGTGATCGATCTCCCAGCGGTCCCTGCTGATGCGAGTCATTGCAGAGGTTCAGTGTCGACTTTGACCCGGCTGGCGAAAAGGCACAGCAGGTGGAGCTGCACAGTTGAACCTGCGAAAGGAGCAATTGCAGTATTTACTGGGCAGATCGTTCGGAAAGTAAACGCCAAACAGGCAGAGGGCTACAGCTTTCAATTCGGATATCATCTATTATGTCTACTTGTCCTTGATTGGACTTCCCAAGAGCAAGTTCAGCTGATGGTGACTTGTGATAGTCATCATTTGGTCAGTTTTGGAGAAAAACTAAGGACACCAAAGAAACGAACGCACAGTTTGATTGTGTCCGAAAGACCTGCCAGCGTGCAACTGAAGGGTTTGTGATTTTGAATTGACTGGCCTGGCTGCTCGAGCTTCCCATTTCATGTCTGCGTGGGCAAGTGAATCAAGTGAAGTTTGCTGCAGCACTTGTTAGGTGGCCGTGCAGTGCCTATCTTGCATTCTCTGCCTGAATGACAACGCGACACTACGATGGGAGCGACTGTTTTGTCCGGAAGGCACAAGCCACATATATGCAGGATCCAAGATTGCACTTCGGTGTTAGTTAGTCGTGCACTCGCTAGTAGATGCTAGTACCAAGTTTGAGCAAGCTTGCGTGATGTAAGCGCTGGCCTTTTGGCTTCCGCGCTTGGGCAGAGGAACTTGCTTGCCAGCAACACAAATCCACTTGTGAGTCCTGCTCCTTGTCGCACGATGTCAGTTAAGATCAGTTGCACTTCGCTGTGGCATGGAGCGCGTGTGTCCGGAGGCATGCAGGCCTGGGTCGAGTTGGGACTTCGGAATACTTCCTCTGTCTCGCGGATGAAGGTCCAGGCTGCCAACAGATGCATGCCGCCACCGATTGCATTAGGGCTTTGAACGAAGACGCCATCACCACAGCAGATGACCACAACAGAAATCCATCTTATTCTGGCCTCTTGTTTGCGAATGCCCGATTTGCACATTTATGGGCAAATGACGCCGTGGGATCCCCGCCTGAAGCTAGTGCTGCGGCCAGGCGACGATCAACAGACCTCCAGCCGCCGCATGGCAAGCAACAGCTGGCCATGTGGGTGCTTTCCCCATGGCAATCTTGAAAGCAAGGGCTGAAGTTGAGACAGACGCAGCGCCAGCTCTTTGCATCGGTGTTAGAATGCCAGGCGCTGCGAGATTTCCAGGGGGCTCGCATAGTTATCCTTGGAAGCCTACCAGGTTCAACAAGCTTAGCTTATAGCTCCTTCAAGCGAATGGTCGAAGCATAACATGTTGTTTTTGCTGCACAGTGGCAGAATCAGGCCTGCTTCCAGCTGTTGAAGGCAGCGCAGAGGAGGCGCCTTGACTCGATGACTCGTCTTGGATACGTGAGATGTCGTCAACATCATCCTGCTTGTTGTTATGCCAACGGAGTTGATGCGGACATATGTGGACGACCTTTGGCTGCGAAAAAACTGCCTTTAAGCCTTTGAGTGTGCTTTCGCCCCATCAGGAAGGGATTGCCATTCCATCAAGCAGCAAGCACAGCCCGTGACCTTGAGCACACCGATTCCTGCGGCAGGGCGGAGTTTGACGTCAACTGCATACGAGCTGAAGTCATCCACTCCTGTGGAGATTCCGCCGACCTTGTCGAGCCCTCAGCAGTGACATGTGGAGGAGGCAGCCACGCACACATCAAACGAGTGCAAGCGTTTGTTGCAGGTTCGGATGGTTTTCGGCCAGGCGACCGAGTCGAGTCCCACGAAGAAGCCAAATCAGGAACTCTTGGTCCTGCGTGCCTACGAGGACAGGAAACACAAGTTGCCACTGGTAGGTTTTGCTGCGTGAGGCTGCCATCAGGCAGCAGTTCATGTTGCAAGGAGAAGCCGGAGCAAAACGTGTACATCCTTTGCTCTCGAAGTGTCAATGCTGACAAGCTATGCCCCCCGACAGATGGGCTTCTGCGCACGGAAGTCCTGCCGTCTGGCCCCCTGGCTGAAGACCGCCTCATCCACTGCAAGTGAAAATGTTGCACTTTTACTGTAATGTAGAAGCCATACGAGCAGACAGAGAGGAAGTGCTCATCACCAAGAAACAACAGTTGGAGAATAGTTGCGGGGTTCCCATTGCTCCTACATCTCTCTGACATCGTACGGGTCCGTGCGTGCACCTTGGGGTGCCGTTTGAGGCTACATCTTGGAGGCTGCTGAGGGCAGCGACGGAGCAGCCACCTACATCACGTTCCTCTTCCAGAGCAGCAGCTCGGCAAAAGGTATTCGTGGCTTGGTGATGGGCTTGGGCTGCGGTGACGAGACATAAGGCAGCGGAGCCGGCACGTGACATGATGTGCAAACATGGCACTTGCCCAGGTACAGCCTTCTTTGACATGGTGCAACCAAACGTTGCCGGGCTTGACGGAAGCTTCACATGCAGATTCCCTCAAGAAACCAGAGTCAGCTACAGGACGGTCTTTCTTCTCCGTGTTTCTTCTCTGTGGGTTCCTCTCCGCCTTGAGCTCAGGCGGTGGAAACCTTCCGGCAGTTCAAAAGCATCCTCGAGAGAGAAGGGAACACTGGTGCTGGCTCTGGCTACACCGCAAAACCATCCTAACAGCTCCGCCAAAGGCGGAAGTCTGCAACATCGGTTTCAAATTGCCTGTGCGTATCGCAAAAGAGTCTGCTTTCTAGTGCTCTTTTCAGCTTGGAGCTGCCGGACTTGCAAGAACCACCGTGTCCATAGCCGCATTAGAGATCTTTGCTTGGAGCGAATAGCTGGGAGCGGACAGCTGATTAGTCCTGGGTTCCTGACTATGAAGAGTTTTGCAGCGGAGTGTACATTTTGTGGCCCTCAAAGTTGAAAGCAGCGATGCAGCTGCTACAAGTGTGGCAGCAGTCTGAGAAGTGGCCCTGCAAGTGACAAGCAAGCTGTATGCAAGTCCTGACTGAGGGCCAACTCACTGACCAGCTCGATGCTCTGGACCCAGATTATAGTACCTGCTTGGTTGAAATTCGAAAGCCGGTACAATACAAGCAGCAGTAGCAGTCATAGTAATAGTACATCACGAGTGAGGGTACAGGTAGGCACCATGCAATCTGCGGTCGGTATTTGGGGGAATGCAGACATGCCATGTTTGAATCGGGTTTCTCTTGGGGATTTTGTCTCGGATATTCCTTTCACAGACCCGACACCTACAGGTTCACACGAAAAAGTTTAAGAATAGTGAATTCGTTTTTGGGGGCTGCTGATCGCACCGATCCTTTCATGAAGCTGTTGTCCGGACAGTGACTTTGTTTGCTCGAGGCCCCGGATCTCCAGGAGGGTGGTCTGCTCCGGCAGGACAACGCGGGCAACCTAGCATAGGGTCACTCCTACGAATGCAGGCCGAAGGGGCTTCAGGAACAAGGGCCCAAGGGGCTATTCGGAAGGGAATGCCTACAGGTGTGTTTTTGTTGCTTCGGGGACGCTCTTCTTCATCTGCCGCATCTGCCGCATAGTTCTTGTTGTCAGGCCTCAGGTGGTCTTCTTGCCAAAAAGTATAACTGCGCACAGAACCGGCCCTGACTTTCAAAACAGAGCACCGCTCAAATTTTAGGCTTCTTCCGGCTTCTGCAATCCTAGCTACCTGCAAGTTGGCAAAAAGTGAAGTTCAGAGACGGCACTCCAAACGTGCGGAAAGTCTAGAAGGAACAGGAATTGTCACCGCAATGTCCGCTGCCAAAAATCTGTTCTAGGACTCAGGTAGGGTCGCGTGCCCAGGCTCAGAGCGCAGGCATTCAGATAGAGAATAGCTCTAGTGCTGTGTGTTTTTTGGCAGTTGGGGGGATGGGAGGGGTGACGCGTGTTTTAGCAGGGGTAAGCTCGCCCTTGGTGTCTTGTATTCGGACTTATTAAGACAACGAAATTTCTTGAGCGTGTTTCAAATGGCTACATCGTGCTTGCGCGTGTACAGCTGAGGTTTTTTACCCTTCGTATTGCAGGATGACGTTGTTTTCTCCGAATGTCAGCTCAGTTGAATTGTTTTCACGCAAACAACCAGTTGAACGACTTAAAATGACAGAGTTGCCGTATGCCCATAACAGCATCGATGCACATTACGAGAGCAGGCAAAATTGCATAAACAGATATACAGAGTGGTGGAACTTCAGAATGCGTCGATACGCGAGAATGCTTTGCCCAACTTTGTGGGTTGTTTGCTTCGTCTGCTTGTAGTTTAAGATGTGCTATGACATTATCATCCTGGGCTGCAGCACAGAGAGTTAACGGATATTCTTGAACCAGGTGTTGACATGAAGGCGCAGCTCAGGTAAGGATGGAATTTGAAAGCTTTAGCTTGGAGTCATCATGCAGTCTTATGGTTCACAGAAGGGTTGATGCAGGCAGCGCAGAGTTTGCTGGTCGCCCGTTGACATCCACAGGCGCTTGTGAACCCCTTGAAACTGCAGAAACGAAAGCACTTACAAATCCCCACATCCACATGGCTCTCGATGGCTGTTGCCGCTGGTGCCCGCCGACAACGCCGCCGGAAATCAGATTCGAAGTACATCCACCTCTCCGTTGTGGCTTGGCTTCGTGCAATGTCCATCAGAACATGCTGACATCCACTTGTGTGTCAATCGCTGCCTTAAGCTTTTCTCGCTTATCGGACATTGCTTCGGGTGCATGTAAAGGCTTGAGGACTCCAGTTGTGACTCGTCTTCATACCAACTTCCTGTCAGGTCCTCATATCAGGGCAATGTGCTGACTTCAGCATCCGATGTGATGCCAAAGTGTTGCTTGACCGCAGTGAGTTTTGTTTCTTGAATCAAGACTCGTGAAATCCGTTGAGAAGCTGACGCTAAAACGTGCAACGAATTGAGCACCAAAAGCGGCTCCGAGTACATCAAAGATTCCTTATAAAGTTTTGAAATCTATAGATGTGGAGGTACCAAACCTTTGATTTTTCAAGGTTTTTTGTATCAAGGGGAACCAAAAAACTGAGTGCTTGTTTGTTGAGATTGCAGCTGTGGGAACGCTGGCCGTTTTAGCTGCACGGACTCACGAATGTGTGGTCCTGCTTGGTTTCCGAGTCCACCGCAAGACTAGGGTGTGTAGCCCCTTGCTGTTGATCTTGCTCGGAAGTGGCACTTCGCCTGAAGATGCCTCACCTCCGTGTGGCAATCGTGGCCCAGGTCAGAGGCCAAGGCCCAAGCGGCAGTGGCGCTGGGCCATGGCCTCAAGCGTCCGCTGGACGTCTTGCCCTGTAGCTTGGGAAAACGCGCCGTTGCAATAGCTGAAGCCAGAGCAAAGCACAGTCGTAGATTATGCAGCATGCAACAATACCTGTTTGAGCAAGGCTCCCAGCTGCTTGCTTCGGAAGATGGCCAAACGCGTATGATCCCATCTGAGGCGTGGTTGCCACCAATTTGATCTCTGACAATGGCGGCTGTCTGGTGGACCACATGACGATAGAGGAGGCTGGTATCAACGATGGTGCTCCCAGGCTGCAAGAAGTCTGACTCTCTGTGTGCGTCACTCCTTCGATGCTCGTACGTTTTCGACCCACGGCCTTTGCAAATCATGCCTCTTGCGATAGATGCAACTTGTCAGCACCATTGCGTTCAGATGGGGTTTTAGATGTGTACAGGCCGCTCGCCAGAGCACCTAGGAAAATCGCAAGACCGGCTAACAGTCTCATTTCGCACGCGCAAAGGCCATACTTGCTGCTCAGCTAGCAGATGAAGTGCGAATCCATACCAACAGAGGCCGTTACCACATGTCCTGCATGCAGTTGCACCTTGATATGGCACAGTGAACTGACCATGCCAGGAGCCTTCGTGCATGTAAACCCCGAGTCTTGGAAGGCAAGCTATCGTTGTGACCGCAACATCTCTTTTTCCTTGGCTCGCTGCATCCCATAGCGCACGTGTCTACATCCAGCTTCAACTGACAGAGCGATGTTTGAAGAGATCCGTGCAGCCCTGACCCTGGAGAGGGTAGGTTCAGGTAATTCGTGCGTTGCGAGAAGAGTTTGATTTCTTCCACTAGGGCATGGAATCGAGGACGGGGACGTGCTCACTTGGGGCGATGCAAAGGGTGGCGGTGACAGCCGGCTTGTGCAACACCACTTCGAGCGCTTCCTGGCAGATACGGAAGACAATGTATAGCCAAGATTTCTATCACCAGCCGATGACCAAAAATACGGTGCCTAGCAGTGATCTATTCATAAGCTACCTTTATCCGCAACCTCAACGCATTTGCACAACCTTGCAGTTTTGCTCACATATCCTAATGGAGCAGGGCTCGCTCATTTGACGTCCAGGTCAAGTTGCCAACATCTTTTCTACGGATGCTGCCTTTGCTGCGTTGCTCCATGATGGCCGTGCCTTTGCTTCAAGAATTGTGCATGGTGTATGAGTTCACAACATCAGAATAGCTTTCAGCGGCTGTTTCTTGCTGGAGCTAACACATGTCCAGGAGTTATCACCTGGGGAGATCCTCTTTCAGGTGGTGACTCTTCGGCCGTTGAGTCGCAGCTGCCTGGCTTACAAGAGCGTGCAGTGCATGCACAAGGAGCATTTGGACATATAAGAGCCACACACAGGCTGGTGGAGGTGACGCGCATAGTGGGGAACCGCGGTGCCTTCGCGGCCTTGCGACGTGGAGGAGGCCTCAGCTTCTCACAGAGTCATAGAGCTCCCACAATCCGAAAGGGATGCTGAAAGGATTTGAAAGCCTAGATGGGAAATTTTCAGCTCGCCCTCCTGGCAGCGCTTTAAAAACGATACGGTTGTGTGGCAGGTGTCGTGGTGTGGGGCCATCAAGCCTACGGTGCAGATGCAGCTGCAGTGCGAGAGCATCTCCACAGCGAACCGCAGCTGGTTTCATGGGTCTCTTCCAGAGAGTCGCGCTCGCTACGCGTTTAAAGGTTCTTCTGCAAGTCTTTAAATGCCTCCGAGGGCGTTGTACAGCTTTGCGGCACTGGCAGCGCCTTCGCGGCCCTAAAAGCTGACGGCCATGTGGTTACCTGGGGCAATGCTGCAGCTGGAGGCCGCGCATACCTCAAGACCCAATGAGTGCCCCGCCCTTAATGCTTTAGAAGCAGCGGTGCAGGTGACAGCCGCTACGTTTACGATCAGCTTCAGCGCGCCTAAGCGGCGGGAACGGAGTATATCTTTGCACCAAGAAGCCACTTTCCGGACATTTCAGAGCAACCCATTGATACATATATGATTTGAGGCGATGTGTCCTACCTGGCTGCCAATGATCACGCATTTGTCGCGGTGGCCTGACTGCATGATGGACGGTAGCTCCGGTTCATGTTGAGGCCTGGTTTTGCCCTTTGAAGGTGCGCAAGGATGGAACCGTCACCACCTGGGGCGATCCGGCACGTGGTGGTGACTGCTCGGCTGTCGCCTCGAAACTGAAGCAAGGCCGTGCGCGGGTTGGGAGCTTCAAATGATGTATAGGTTTGAGGAAATATGACATCTCAGTCTCCAGCCTGAAGCAGTCAACATCCATGCCGTGTGACAGGAGTCAAGATGTGCCGGCCTCAGCTGTTATAGCTTCCTGCATATTACCAGCATCTGGGAAGAAGCCCTGGCGACTGGAAGTATCGGTCCGCAGCCAAGGATTTGTCCCAACTCAGTTGCCTTTGCTGTGATCTTGGAGAACAATTCTGCACCTAGGAGGAATGGACTTTAATTGCTCAATCAGATTGATAGGAGACAATCACCTGCAACCGCTATCCTCGTACGGCCTTCTGCAAGGTTCTACCATGCTATGGCCCAGCCAAGGTTCTTTCATGGGGTCTGTGCAGCGCGCCTTGGCTTCAAGTTGGCACAAGCACTCGCACTGCAACAATTTCGTGACAGAAGTTCCCCATGTTGGAACTCATCTGGGTTCGGAAATACTTGCACCCTCCCTAAAAGAGCATGATCACCCGCAACATCGAGAAGAGCTGCTGATTGCAAATTTAAGGGTGGCGGCTCCAATCGCCAAGTTCAGGCCGGGAAGTCAACAGAGTTTTGCCAATATGTCGCGGCCTTGCAAAGGGCTGGTATCTCCCAGGCCCAGCTTCGATCAAAGGTCATCAAGCTGTACGCCACATCGCAGGCCCAGAAGTCGTTACACTTGGCTCCCCGTGTGCTGCCCAGTGCCAGGCCTTCACTGCTCTGAAAGAAAGCGGCAACGTGATCTCCTGGGGCTTGGAGTCGGATGGAGGCCAAATGCTTGGATTGAGGTTTGTTTACTGGGCTGGACCAAACAGAAAGCAAAAGCTTTCACCAGCATTGCATCGAGGTAGTCGAAATAGTTCTATTCTATCTCGTGTATGATGGTCCCATGGGAGGTGTAGTTCTGGGACAAGCGTAAGACAAGGATATCAAGAGACCTCAATAACCCAATGTCTGCTGAGATGGTCCTTGAGCAGTTGGCCTGTCAGGCCTGTCATCATGTCATGAATGATGTATGTCCTGAGCCATGGGTCATGGATCATGAGCTGTACAGAAAAGTCTCCCACCTGAAGGAGCCAAAATTGTTTTTGCGCCAATCTGCTCGGTATATCGTGGCTTGTAAGCCAGGCTCACATCAAGAGGCACCTCAAACTTCGGCCAGCTGCAAGCCCCCTGTGCTGTCAGGGGATATCCTGGCCCGCCCGGAGGACAGGGGCGAGGTTCGGATGTAAATGTAGTTCCGGACGATGCCAGGACTTCTTTTAGTCATGTGTCGGGGCATCGCACGAGCGAGGATAGCAGCGTAGCCGCTAATTCTTGGTCGTTTCTCAGGAGGTGTTGGCGAGTTTCATGTCTGGGCTCTGAGGTGGACCGCATCTTCTGCACAGACCATGCTTTTGCTGCTCTCTCCCGCTGCCTGACACAAATCAGGAGGTGCTTGGCCTGTTCATGCCTGAAGGTGTGTGGCAATGGAATGACATGAGATAAAGCTGGCGTTTCTTTCACAAGTCTTTCAGCAGCCAGCTACAGTTGCCATAGACCATCAACCAGAGAGACCACCTAATTGCAGACTGCGGGTTCTGGGTCACAGCTTTGCAAGAGCTTTAGGTCCACCAGGGCCGTGGGCCAAAAACGCACGCAACTTGATGCCATGCTGCTCAGGACGGGATGGGCGCGTCGTTTGTTGGGGCGCGAAGGTCCAACCGCATGGCTTTGGACTGGTTTTCGCTGTTGTGACCATCTTTTCTTCCGGAGGAGTCTGGCGGTGACTGTAGTGAGGTGGCGTCAAAGATGCTTGGCAGAATTCGTGTCAATGTGTGGCGCAGAGATTGATGAGAAGCCTTTGCTAGGATGCCGTTTCTCAATCTTCATCTGTTGTGATTCTTGTATCGGCTCTGTTCTGCCTCAGTGACTCAGTGCCGTTGAATCCAAGACCTCATTTGGCTGGTTGGCGTTCGTGCCAGGCTGCATGGGGTCTATGAGATCTGCGGCACGAGTCATGCTTTTGCCGCGCTGCGTCATGATGGCTCTGTGGTGACCTGGGGCAACCCAGCGCCTTGGCATCGTTGGGCACTTCAATTGCACAGAACCTGACAGCAAGGTCGCCCGCAGCATCGGACTTGGATGAACTTCTCGCAAACTGAGCAAGCTAAGGCCCTGGGAGGTGATGCTGGCTCCTGCATGCCGCACTTGCAGGCTCGGTTGGGCCTCAGGGAGTGGAGTGGAGTACTTGTAGCCCGTGTTAAGAGGATCATGGCTGTCCCGCGCATCCGTCTGGCAAGGGTGATGTGCTTCGACTGTTTGCGACCCGCCTGGCCTTCGCTGCTGTGAAGCGCCACTTGGCATCTGAGATCGGCGTGAAGCTACAGCAAGTTCAGAACAATTGTAAGCACATGGGAGCCCTCGAAGTGGGGCCAAGCCTTGCAGGTGATGGCACTATCCTCACTTGGGGCGGCCGAGATGGCGGAGGTGCTCATGCTTCAGACTCATGATTCATCAGACCGGCTATTTCCCTGCGACGAAAACCTCCGAATGGGCCAGGTCCACTTCGTCCACCTGAGAGACATGCCCTCATAAGGACTGAAAGCGGACTAAAAGTCAAGTGATCCGCACGAAAGGGGTAGAACCGGAAAACTTTGGCCCGTGTGTATGCTTTGTAATAGCAATGACGCTGGCAAACACAGGTCGGTTGCCAAAATTGGCCCAACCGTGATAATGCGCCTCTTACTCATCGTGGACATCTTGAAGCACGAGAGTGCCGTCTGTGAACCATTGAGGCTAGGCCAGCAGGTGGACGCCCAGAGATGGACCAATCCACTGACTTAGGCGGTAGCGTTGCGCGAGCCCTCTGCTAAGCAGAGTTGCAGCTCTGGAGTCATAGATGGCAGCAGAGTAACGGATGGGAAGGGTGAACAGGATCAGCAGCTGATAGGGTTTTGTTTTGATTCTCGCAGGTGCAGGCGGGCAGTTTCATGATGGCAGTGATTATAGCACTTGCGATGCTTCAGGCGCTAGAACTTGTTTGCTGAGGTGGCGAAGATTGCCTTCAACACACGTTCCCGAGCTCGAGCCCCAGAGCGTTCATGACTGAACGTCCCCTCTTCACGTGCGCGGTTCCATGCCGGGCTCCTATTTGCATGATTTGTTGCAGCTATTCTTCAGAAGTGCTACGCGCATCTTTGCAAAGCTTCCATAGCCGGCTATGCCCCTTCAAATGGGGAAACTATCAAAAAGCGTGTGTGCAGTGAAAGGGTGGAGCGGAGTTCCGAAGGCATCCGAGGTTCATGATGCATGTTGAGAGCGAAAAGGCAGCAGTCTCTTTGATTCTCTGACTCGATTTGGATGATGAGGCCTCAAAGTTTGGCCTAGACCGATTAGCCAAGCAAAAGCGCCTTGAGAAGGAGCTCAAAGCAGGCTGCGGACTCGGTGAAATGGCTGGTTTCGCTTCAAATGGTGCCGCAAATTTTCAGATCACAAAATAGTGCATGCATGATGGGAAGGCGGACCAATGTCAGCACTGTCTCTGGACGCTGACCCCTTAGCGGACGCCCCAAAGCCTACCATGGCCGAGCTGCATGCAAAGGCGCAGCAATGCTTCAATTGAGGGAAGCTTCTGGCGGAGAGCCTTCATGTAGGGATTAGCGCAGAGAGGGGTCTGCATATTACATGCTCAGCCCATGAAGATGGCCTTTCGCCTATTTCCCGCTGATTGTGTATTTTTCTTGAGCAGCTTGCTCCTCCACGTGGGGTCTACCATCGGCTATCCATGGGTGGTTCACTAAGACCTTGTGGGGCCACGTCAAATATCGTGTGACAAATCTGCCTTTTACAGGGATCTCGGCACAGACCATCCTCTTGCCACTTGCCATGGTCCGACTGTGAGTGCTGCACGGATTCAGATTGACCACGTGCTCCGGCTTTGGACTTGAACAGCCTTTTCGCATCTGACGGCTTGTGGGGTAGCATGTGCAGATGCAACGCATGCAGTTGCAAGGATGAAAGCTAGCAACGGGTGACCCCAGACCTCACATCCTGCATCCCCAAAATTCTTGCCCGATTCAGCACCCTAAAGCAAGGCTTCCAGCGATCCAAAACACAAAACACACCCCAAAATCCACATGATGATCCCAAGTACACTCCCAAATCATAACCATCAATGTAAACGCCACAACAAAGCCCAAACATTATCCAAAAATCAAAGCCACCTCATCCTGACAAGTTCAGGCGCAGCGCAAGCGCATAGCAGCAGGAAGTGGTTCTGACGCTTCTGGTGACGAGGTGCTTTCTTCTTACTCTCTGCACTCATGCGCAAGGTTTCAGTCTAAAATGCCAAAAAGAATGTAGCCTCCTATGACACTAGCACAGTACAACATTCCCATAGAGCCAGAAAATGCGGAAGCCACCTTTCTGAGCCCTTGACCAGGAGGAGCAAAAAGCAGGGAAGCCCAATCGAGGCAAGTTGTGATCCAATCTGATGGTGGGGAATCAGCAAACTGTTGCTCTGACGTCTCGAACTCACATTTCCTCCGGCCGACTATCGGGCGTCACGAGCTCGCAGGGGTTTGAACATGCACGTTTCTAGACTTACGGGAGAAGAGGCCTGTGACATAAAATGAGACCCCACGGGGGTTGTGGTTGCCAGGCCAGAGAAGCAGAAGCCGCAGTCCCGTGCGGAACGGTGCTGGCAAGCAAGCAAAGGGTGGCACAGGCCAGTGGGCAATGCATATGTGCCATGATGTGCCATGTGTGCTAACTTGATGATGCGGTGCTAACGGCAGCCCACAACAGTGTAGATGCGATTTACATGTGCAATCAGGCTTTCCCTTGGCCAGATCGCCTGTCATGGTGTAAAGTGTGATGAATGGGAAGTCTGTGTTGCTGCGCTCCTAGATGAGGCTAGCAGCGCACCACGTAGTTTCAAGACCCCGCACAGGCGATGGCCGCACAAGTTCTGCAGACCTTTGGGAGGCCGAATGCATCGCATCAAGTTTTCCAGTTGTTCCTCCGCTGTCCAAACTTGAAACCACCCAGGGGCCAAGGCTTGACTGACTGCTTAGGTTATGTAAGCGGGATGTAATGTGAAGATGCCCATGTTCCACGTGCATCTGCCACCATATGCGATCCATGCTTTGCCTTCAGCCTAATCGGGGGCGTTACGAGACTTCAACTGATTGGGGTACAGCAAGAACAATGCAAAAGAGACGGGCAGAAGATGAAAAAAAAGAAGAGGGAGAGAAAGATCGAGGCTCAGAAATGGCCCTGACGTGCTCTGCGCGGATATTCGGGGTATGCATAATCCATAGATAGAAGCTATAATTCTTTTGAAGGTGACCCCATGTATACGACAGGTCATTCAGACCGAGAGGTGTGGCATGGCAGCTATGGAACAGCAAATCAGGACACACGCTTCCCAAAAGGTGAAGAAGCTTGAAGACAAGAATCATCGGATGCGACAACAGGAACCGAGCAGAAAAGACAAGTCGATCCCTCGGCAAAATGCATAAAGCTCGTGGAGGAGAACGTCCAGAACATGTCGAGAAGTAAGTCCACCGAGATGACAGGGTCGCCCTCCGCAAGCACATCTTTGGACAAGGGCGGCTCGAAGCCTGAGAACAAGTCCAGGACAAAATTGTCGCCCGCAGAGGGCAGCAAGTGCTGGGGTTCTACCGAATCAACAGGCTCTGGGATACAAGCAGGGTTTATGAGGGTGCGATGGAAAAAAGGATGCAAAAGGCACCTCGAGTGGAGGAATGCCTCTTTTTTTTGGGGCCGAGTGGAAGCTTGAGCAGACAGCCAGTTCGCGGAACCACAGTCAGGAGCAGCTCTCGCAATGGGTGGTTGGAATGAGAACTGAAGCGTGAAGAACTGTTGGAAAACGTCCAGCGCGTGGCTCAACAACTCCAACTTGCTGTTGATGCCAAGAATCTTAATGCTTTTTTCCAGGATTGCGGAAAACCTTTGTTATCCCCTACATCGGCCAGGCAAACCAGGGGAAACACAACGAGGTCGAGCCATCGAAGCAGCCCGACGTATGAGAGACGTGCTTGTGGAAGGCAAGCCAGCAGCAAACCAAAAGAAGCTTTGGCTGGCAATCACACGATCACCGCACAATCGGTGGAGAGGCAAACTGGTCAGTGAATGGTCAACATTTCATCGTCGCGATTGGGGGATTCATGGTCAATAGCAGCATCGAAGTCAAGTGGAGTACAGACACAGTCTGGCTGGACGGTATCAAGGTTGCTGCAGCCGTCGGCAACACAAAGCACCCCAGAACGTCTTCTGTCTGGGAGAAGGGTGGGTGGATTTTACCGGCACCGTCAAACTCTTATGACCCACTAAGCAGAAGATGGAGACGGCATGCGGGAACTTGAGGCTCCAGCTGACCGGACACACGGCTGTTCAGGGGACCAGCCATAACACCTTGCTGATAGACATCGTGAATTGAAGATCGCTGCCAGATATGGGCACTCATATCAGGTCTATGGATGCCTTGCCTGCCCACATGACCGGAGATGTGTTGTAATCTGAATGCTTGAAGCCCACTAGTGCTGAGCAATGGCGTCGAGGCTAACATGAGCCGAGGGATGGAACCAGAAATGAACCTTCGGTTTCTTTATCCCACACCCAAATTGTTTCACATGAACCAAGCGGAGTCTCAAAGGGCAATGCGTGAGAGGAGGAGGAGGGCACACTCTGTGCCGGTGGAATCCTTCTCCGGTCCACTCCCGTCGTCATCACGTAAACTCTTAGGTTCCTCGGTGTAGTACTCTCAGCTATAAGGGATTGTATAACAATCCCGCGCCAGAGGATATCGTCCTGACGCACTGCGAAATTCAAAATCTAGGTGGGCTTTAGTTGGAAAACCGATCTATCGAAAAAAGTAAGGCCCAAAGCTTGGGCGAAAAAACGAGAAGAGGAAAATCAACCGATGACACCGTTTCGGGTCAAACAAAAAGAAGGCGGTTTCCAGAGAACCCTGACAAAATGTGACAAATTTACTTCCACACATCACGTATAAGCATCCTGTGTTTCTACATAATTTCATTTCCTGTTTGAACATCCACTAGGGGAAGTGTCAACCACCTTTTTCCAATCTTTGAGACAGTTGGTATGCAATCCATTGGTAAGTTGTTTGGCTGACCATGTCGTCCACCGTCTAGCAGGTTGCAAGATGCCACATCTTGAGCATTATTCGGTGGAACAATTAAGTGTTGTTCATCTTTCCAACGCAGCTCCCAAGCTGCGTAAGAAAAGTAGAGAAAGAGGAACAGGAAGCATCCATTACAGCAGCAAGGGAAAGGAAACGTTGCAAGCCCAAAAAGCCTTGAGAGTACATTGGGTCTGCACGCAAATAAACGGCATGTGGCTTTTGCGTCTAGCTCAGCGGCTAGCTTCCTCTTGCCAGTGGCCCTGAGGCAGCAAAGGATATACGAGCAAAGTTGAGCAAGGGAGGCGAGGGCTCGGCCAAAGCATGCCTCACCGGTTCTCTCATGTTCCAAGAAGTTGGCTGTGTTTGGAAAGCATCATCAATGTAAACGTGGCATTCAGGGTAGACTTGCCCCTGCTATCCAATCCATGCTGAATATTTCTGGCTCAGAGGGGGAGCGCAGTCCCTGCTGTTGCAGCACATGGGTTGCCAAACAGTCGGGCCGCGGTGACCCTCAGGCCAGGCTACTGTTCTCGCTGCTGCTTATACATTGGAGGGATGATTCTTCTGACTATCATGTATGCCTCACCTCTATTTGATGCTGGACAGCTTGCTTGTGTGTTTCGACCGCTTGCAACAGTGATTCGCACTGACCCCCGTCGGCAAACCAGGTCTCCAAAGATGGAGGCCACATTGTCGCGGTTAGCGGGACGAGTAGCTCAGGAGGCGGGTACCGGTGAAGCTAGTGACACCAGCTCCCGCTTGAAAAGCAAGTGTTGCTATTGAGCTCTGTCCTGCAAGAACTTGCGCATCTCGGGCATGGCATTTCGCAAGCAGGTTCCACTCGACTTGTTCGTCCTCGTGCTGGCTGTCATCTGCTTCGCCGCCGGAGTGGTCACATACTGCCAAGAGGCGCCTCGATTGAAAGCTTTCAGATTCTGACCGCTTCAGGCGAGGGGTTCGGTCTGTGTTGTGATAGGGCTGCTACGTTCGTTTCCGGCCCTTTGCTCCTCCAGGATCTGGAGATACAAGTGGTAGGGTTATCTTACATCGGTCCGGTTTTTTATGCATCGATCCAGCGTCTACTTGGGGAAACCATGTCTTGGGCATGGCCACTGCTTAACAACATCATCAGGAAAATCTTGTTTCAGACAGCGTCTACATGCGGTTTGGCGGTTTCAGCGTGACATCCTGGTGTCGACTCGTCTACACACTCTTTCCGGCTCTTCCAAACACAGCGTCTCCTTGGGGATTTGCTGATGTAGGGTGGCCAAAATACATGCGAAACATACTGCAAAACGTCTGCGTCTGCCACAAAAATGTCGTTTTTACACTTTCTGTCCGGCTCTTCAAAAAGCAGCGTCTCCTTGGGGATTTGCATCTCGTGATGTATATTTTCCCCAGTGATGTATATTTTCCCTGACGCAGCGTCTACATGGGGAGATGCATATTCTCACCGGCTGATGTGTGATAACCCCGCCACTCGTATCCGGAGAGCTCGCAAAGACTCAGCAAATCACCTTTGATGCAGCTGAGGCACGTGCGTCTTCGAAGCAGTTGCCAAACATCGCAAAAGACATTGAGGATGCCTCACCGGTCTCCGTAAAGTCTCCTGCGTCGGAGAAAGCTACAGAAGTGCCAGACGGTTGCAAGACAAAGGCGACGGTGCCATACTACATCTCAGAATGTCTCACCTGATTGTGCTTTGCTCGGGCTGTGTTAGTCCAGCAGGCGAGAGAAGATTTGCCGGAGCCGGAACCAGAAGGTTGCGACGAAGATTCGCGCCGAAAGAATCTGGAGGCGCCAACCTTCGAGGGACTACAACTGCTGACTCATGGAGGGCGGAAAGAGGGAGAGGAAAAGAAACGATGCGGAGAAAGGTGATTTCAACACGATCAGCCAAGCTTGAACAGGGCAACTGGTCACCTGTCTAAGGTTTGCCTTGAACGGCTTCCAGGCACAGCTGTTCGCTAGCCAGAATAGATGAGTGGGTGGCGATTCTGCAGTTGTGCCTGTGCTGGGCAGGAGAAGCCTGGGGTTTTGCCTGGCATAGCAAAGCGTTCGCTGACCAGAGGCAAGTAGTGAGCAAAGCAGGCGGGCATCTTTCTAATTCCTGCTGGGTGTTGAGAGGCTCATCATTGTTGGCATCGACGTAGACTCGCCGGCGGGGCGATGGCAGATGGAGCGGAAGCATCAAGGTAAGGCTTACTTGCGATAAAAGATGGCTTGGGCCCGACAACAGCTTCCGACATCCTTGCTGTGACGAGGCCTTCCAATTGTCGGGCGCGGCGATGAGCAGCCTACTCGCACCTGGTCCTTTCATGCTTCCCCACTCCCACCCACTCCTGCGACACCCAGGTTGGTTTGCGCGAACGATCTCTCGCAGCACAGCAGTATGCAGATTTCGCTGGTGGCCCGGACCTCGGTTGGAGGGCTGCGGCCATTCTTGTGAAAGACATACGGAGAGGTAGTGGTACCTTATGGTGTTGCCATCTGCATCAGGTTGCCAACAGGCTGCGCCTGAAGTTCTTGCGCTCAGACAGCGCTGCTGGTCACTCGGCAGGCCTGCCATCAAATTTAGAGAGAGAGAGAGAGAGACAGAGAGCCCCGACCTGCCCGACAGGGGCAGGTTCAGCCCGAAGAAGAAGACGAAGAAGGAGAAGTGTGCACAACACTGCCCCAACAAGGAGTAGTCCTCCATACTCCATACAACCTGCAAAGAAAGAAAAGAAGGAAAGTGTGCAGTGCGAGGTTCACATGGTTGTGAGGCTAACCTGTTTGGACTAGGGCTTTGAAGGTTTGTGTAGTGAGACCGCGTGACTTTTGCAGTCTGGTGTGACAGGCGGGGAAGTCGAGGCATGCAAGGAAGATGTCTTCAAAGACACGCTGCCCCAACCGCTTCTGCAGCTACTTGGGCAGAAGGTTACTTGTGACCTGAGAGAGTTGTTGCAGCATTCTCTGCCGGAGATAGATGTAAGACTTTGGGGGTGTAGCCCAACAAGACATCGTTTTGGTTAAGAACAGATTCAGATGACAAAGCTTCTGCAAAGTTTGCTGTTTTTTTCTGCTGATGTCCCTCTGGAGACACTGCAGGCCTGATGCTTTCGCAGAGAGTGACGAGGACGAGTCTCGCGAGAGAGCTGTTCGACAACTGAGTAGCGGAGTAGAGCGTTGCCGCTTCCACATGTCTTGCGAGCCTGAAGCTGCCGCGGATTGCCGGGGAATGTGAGGATTTGGAGGACATAGGCAGTCAGAGCCTGAACAGCCGGCACGTTTAGTTTAGCTTCACAAGCTGCCAAAAAAGGCGGGCCATGCACACCCGGCAGGTTGACTTACGATGGTGTGCCTCGCAATTTCTGGAGCTACCAGTGCCTCGCCTACACGCCTAGGTCGTGATTGGCAGCAAAGGGATCTTGCATCAGAAGCCTTGCTCCCAAGCCACGCCAGCAGTGTCTGCCAGCAGACATTTTCCATCCTAAGGCATGTAGACAGCTGTGATTGAGAAGCCCATGCAGGCGCCTACCACTCCGGCCCGTGCCGCCCGACACAGAAAACGTCCACCCTGCAGCCTCTTGTCAGAATTGGCATGCCCCTCTAGACTCTAGACATGCGAGGTGCAAAGTACTCGGGGGGCTTAGCGCCTTTCGAACGAACCAGGTACCACCCGAAGAGGAAGCCAAAGCCGCTCTTGTCGCTGCCGGGAATGACCAGACGCTGCCAAGCTATGCACGCTGCTTGGCCCCTACTCCCAGAGTTTGTGCAGAGCTACAAAGTCCCCAGCCGTGGCCACCCCCAACCCCTTCGGAGACACAGCCGGACACAGGAGGCAGGCCTAGGGCGCTTTGCCATGTCTGCCCCAAGATCGAAAAGGAGGAAGCCAAAGATTTCAAATTGGATGCCGTGCGTTCTGGTGCAGTCTCTGATGACTCATGGTGATGCTACCTACCCAAGGCGCGCCAATACGCTCGCGCTCAGATCCTCCTGCTCCGCGACAAAGGGGAGGCAGCGGTAGCATCCTCACAGCTCGTTGGTGTGTGAATGGCATGAAGAGGATTCGCTTGCAAGGTGCCTCACTGATGAGTGTGTGTGTGTGTGAGTGTGGCACCACTCAAACCACATCCAATATCTGCTATCTAACTACTTGTACGTCTTGGTGCAAGCCAGCAGGAGTTGACCTTGGAAGTTCTGATCTTAAGCAGCACAGTTCCAGGTAGTTCCTCCCCCATCGCGTCGAAGCATCGCCAAGGCGCCAGCGTCATTGAATGGTACTCGTAGTCATGTGTGAAGCCCTGATCGTTGAAAGATATTGAAGGTCTTTTTCCAAGCATGGCTGCTAGTTCAAAGATTTGGAGTTGCGCCCACATGCCACAAAAAGGCATATTATGTGACACGCATGATGTTGACAATGCCGGTGAAAATGATTGCGTTGATCGCCTAAGAAGAAACCGCCACAACAGAGGACACACGGTGCCACCAGCGCCATGAAAGTGAAGCCACCACGTCGATGCCATTAAGTCATTAGCGTTACTGGCATTAGCATCATATGTTCACACGCCCGCTATAGACGAAGCTCGTTGCCGCAATTCATCCTGTCAGGCGTGCAGCCATCGATTTTCACCAGAAGCCAGATGGCCGGACCAAGGCAGGGCAGGCTTTTAAGTAGTATGACTCACGTATTACGCGTATTACGTCAAAGATGCCTGTCCCAGCCCAAAACAACAAGTTGAGATGGCCGTGCTTCTCAAGATGGGTCCCTTCAGAGGAGTCCAGCATTTATGTCAGGAGTCCGGCCTCAATGCGCAGCCCGCAGAGCGCAGTGGCAAGAGGCCTTGCCGGCTTCTCCATCCAAAAGATCGTGCCAAAAAAGTTTGATGGTAGACGTTGTACCACATTTTGTAGACTATCACCGGTTTCCATCCATCCAATTGACGCAGGTCATCGGGATGGCTTGCACATGTACAATTTTGGGAGAGTGTCCTGAGGAATCACATCGCCTAAAGCACGTTCAAGGCTAATTGCAGGCATGCCGCTATGTCGTGTATGCTTCTGATCCTGTCTTTCAGCTCCTTGCTTTGTGTCAGCAATGGAGAAATAGTTGAAACCATGCAATGCGCATTGACCTGGCAGATGTTCCGATGTCGGAATGCGTACATGTAATCAGAACACTTTGGAAGAGGTCGGCCGCGCCACCAAAGCGCGGATGCAGAACCAGCAGCTTGGCAGCTCCCAGTGCCACCGTGCCACCCAGTGCTTCCGTTTTCAGAGGGTTGCCACCCCAGATTCTGAGGACAGCCACATTCTCTCTTGTGGCTCCGGGTCTGAGAATGCTTCCCGGAGCGACCAGTGCCCTTCCACGGATTGGGAATACATGATGGACAACCGGGCCAGGTGCCTTTGAATGCAGAGTTGTGTTGAAGTCAGGTTTGCAGCAACTACGTTTGCCTTTCCGCAAGGCAATGCCAGCCTCTGCCAGACGGACCCGGCGTTTCTGGGCTGCATCGGTCACGAGCACAATTAGGCCAAAAGGCTGTGACGGATCATCATCAGAAAGGTTTCTCGTCAGGGGCACATCTGCATTTTGCCCCATAGCGGTAACAGCATAGACTGACACACATAGCCAATGTTATGTACATACACTATGGATAGTGTTGGAATGCTTGCGGAAACGGAGCAAGTTGCTGTCCACAAAGGTGATGATGCTCCTCCAGCCCATGCTTGGTGGAGTCATTGGTCAGCCGCATGGTCTCCAAGGAGTGCCTACAAAGTACAGCCGCCAAGTAATTCGATTCATGTGATGATGATGATGATGACGACTGATGACCCTAACTGTCACATCCTGGTCGTGCGAGTGTCAGTGCTAGTATGGCTAGCTGGGCTTTGCCAGCACCTGCTTTCATGATGCTTCATGGCGTGCAGCAGGTGCCATGTTGTTCCATGGGTGTTGCTTGCCAAGGCCTACATCTGGGCCGCTTTTGCCTGCGCCGCCTCGATCGCCACATGTCTCCGACGCCTCGTCGACCCCGCCGCCACCAGTAACTTCGCCCAAGGTCGTTTGGCTGCACATGTACAATGTACCCTTAGGCCTTGGGCACTTGCTACTATCTGTTCGCGCGCAGCTTCCCTGGAGGTCCCCAGCATGCCGTCCAACTCGGGCATGCCAGGCCATTCGCCGGAAGCGGTTAGCATTGGCATGAATCCGGGATAGGACAATCAGGGAAACAGCACATCATAGCTACCAGGAACAAGCGAAGCTGTCGTGGGTCTTGTTCTGAGAGGAGCTGGCCTAGTTGTGCCGATGCAGATGAATCCCGGCTTCGCAGCAACAAGTTCCTGGGCTGCAAGTAGCATAATTGCAGAGGAAGTTGCCCGTCCGGTGCCTGCACAAGTATGTGTGCCGCGGCCGCCACCACCAAAAGCATGTCACCTCAACTACAAAGATCGCCTTGTTTAAGTAAGGCATGGCTTCAGCGCAGCCACGATGACAGCATTTGGATTTTAGTGTATATTTCGCATCAGTCTGTTTCCTACAGTGTCCTTTTCGTTGAGAATGCTGTTGCATTGGTTGTCTTGAGTTTCATTTGCTGCGTGGCTTGTTCAGGGTGAAGTTTGTGAACAACAAGAGGGACCGAAGCCACTGGTTGTCGGTCAGTCTACCCCGAGTGTTCAAACAGACTGCTGCTTTGAGTTTGGCTATGTTCATTAGTCCTCGGGGGCTTGCATGCGTAATGGCTGCGGCGTTCTGGGTTTGCATGGGGCTGCCAAGATCACTGGCTGGCAGAATCAGCTGCCTGCTTGCAGCTGAGGAATCCACAGGTGTCACAGGTGCTTTCTTGGACGACTGCGTGGCAGACTGGCTTTGACCCGTGCCTTCAGGAACGGCCCTGACGAAGAACTGCAGAAGTGAAGCTAGCTCTGGTATTTGCTGTACTGATGGCTGCCGCAGGCTTCAGCTTCATCGAGCTGGATGCAGCCAACGCGAGGGCCTCAAGTTTTGGGCCCAAAGCTTGTGTAAGCCAGCTCCAATTGAGCAGCTTTTTTTTTTTTTGGCGTGAAAGAGCTATGATGACCGTGAAGCTGCAAGAGTGCTCGCGTAGCCT